AGAGTTGTTGCTGCCGCCACAGCCACTGTCTATGGGAAGCTCTAAATGGAATAAGAGACAAATTCCACTTGCCAACTACACTAGCATTAAGATCAATGATGATGGCACCTCTACAGCGTACTAGAATCATAGAATAATGAAGTTGGGAGGCATTTTTTTCACTGCCATTAAACTGTCAAGCATTAACATTGTCATGTTAGTGGACAGCCATCTGTCAGATCTGCTTTGATTTAGATTCCTGCACTGAGCAGGGGATTGGACGCGATGGTCTTACAGACCTCTTCCAACTCAATTATTCTATAATTCTATTATTCGTTTACAAATCTGTTTTGTGTCCTAGATCACTGGTTCTCAAACGTGGGTCCCCAGATGTTCTTGGACTTGTAACTCTCAGAAATCCTGGCCAGCACAGCAAGTAGTGAAGGCTTCTGGGAATTGTAGCCCGAGAACATCTGGGGACCTCAGTCTGAGAACCACTGGCCTGGATGACTAGTTGTCAGAATGCAAATTGCTCTTCTCAGGCTTTACTTCCTCCTTCGTCATACAGAAGGAACCACACAGAGACTCCAGAGTAACTGCTAGCACACTCAAACGGGGTGGAGAGAGGTAGTATTAGGGTTTCATACGTAACTTAGGTTCATTCCCTCCTTCTTTATCCCTAATGGAAGTTCCAGGAACAATAAAGTGCATTCTTTTTCATCCCTGATTCTTAGCTGTCAGAATATTTACTTCTTCCAATAGTGATAAGTGCAGCATGAAATTGCGGCCCTTACATTCACCAACCATTAAAAAAAAATTCAAGACGTTTCAAAATAAGTGCACAAGAAACATGTTTGGACTTTCTCCTGGACACCCTAGCTGCCATCCTTGGGGCTGAAATTAGAATAGGACCGAGCTGTTTTACTTCAGATATTGGTTGAAGTGGAATGGAAGGGATGGGGCTTGGTTTGTCAAGCAAAGATGGTGTGAACAACAGAGGCCTGGAGATTAGGCATAGGGGTCTAAATCCAACTGCTGAACTAGAGTAGGCAATTGGTAAGTAGAGTGGATCAATTGGTAAGACAGTTAAATCAGCACTTAACATAAACCCCAGTACTGGTTCTCCTCCAGGTGAGACAAGCACCCCGATTTAGGCCTGTATTGCTAAGATTATGCAAAGAATGTGGGTGTGTCTTTAGGAAGTGTATTATTGTGCTTTGTGGAGCTGGGTTTTAATGTGGATGCTGGCAAAGATGTGGGGGTTTATTAATGACTTGTGACTCTCATATTGGTTTGTTAAAATCAGTAGGAAACATTTGAGGACAACTTAATCCTAGACTTTGGCCTGCATTAAATTTGTCAGATATTACTGAGTTAAGGTTCCAAATGGCACCCTCGCGGGTGGTCACCTGAAATGGAGGCGAGAGCTCCTACATCTTTAATAGTCAGGTAGAATAATTTTCAGCAGGTTCACTTTGTCATATAATCTAATAATAGTTATGTGCTGTGAAGTGAATTCCAATTTAGAGAACCCTTTCCAGAGTTTTCTAGGTAAAGAGTACTCAGAATTGGTTTACTTTTCCTTTCTTCTTGGGGGGGGGGTTGCCCTGGGGCCGTGCAGTTTGCCCAAGGCTACGCAGGCTGACTGTTGTCCCAGGAGGCACAGTGAGGAATCACACTCTGGACACCTGACTCTGCAACTGGACACTTCATTTACTGAGCCATCCAGATATTCTACACCTCCTTAAATTCCCTCTTCCACACAACTATGCAAGACATAGGGCCTGGATCATCCTTTTCACATGGCCACCCTACATCTAACAATGTGGATGAGAGGTGTTCAGTCATACTACAATTGGGATGAATCTGACTTTATAGCTGTAGTTGGGCTGAGGGTCTTGCACACATATGGCCAGCCCACCCACCCTACTTTCGGTTGGCGAATTAGCATTCTTAGATTCAAAACTAATATGTGGTCATGTAGGAGGAGCCCTTCACTACACTGACTTGCACATTTGTTTGTTTTACTAACCAATTGTTGTTTAGTCGTTTAGTCGTGTCCGACTCGTTGTGACCCCATGGACCAGAGCACGCCAGGCCTTCCTATCTACCACTGCCTCCTGAAGTTGGGTCAAATTCATGTTGGTCGCTTCGATGACACTGTCCAGCTATCTTGTCCTCTGTCGTCCCCTTCTCATCTTGCCTTCACTCTTTCCCCACATCAGTGTCTTTTCCAGGGAGTTTTCTTATGAGATTGCCAAAGGATTGGAGCCTCAGCTTCAGGATCTGTCCTTCCAGTGAGCACTTAGGGTTGATTTCCTTCAGAATGGATAGGTTTGTTCTCCTTTCAGTCCAGGGGACTCTCAAGAGTCTCCTCCAGCACCACAATTCAAAAGTATCAATTCTTCAGAGGTCAGCCTTCTTTATGGTCCAGCTCTTGGGCTGGGTTAGAAGCCCTGCTCTTCTTCTCTTTCTTTCCCTATACATGTTGCTGCTCTTTGTTTTGTTAACACTCTTCTTTGCAAGATGTCCCCAGGGAAGGATGCAGATAAAGCCTGTTTCACACAGCATGGATCTCTCCAACCACGTAGAGGTGAAAAACCCACCTCTTGCTCCTTTCAATCTGCTGCTCTTTGTTTTGTTAAGGATGCAGATAAAGCCTGCTTCGCACAGCATGGATCTCTCCAGCCACATAGAGGTGAAAAACCCACCTCTTGCTCCTTTCAATCTTCTTTTCTGCTTGTAACTGTTGATCCTTTACGAAGACTGCTGAACTAGTGAGCAACAATCTATTTTTCCTTTTTCTACCTAATGGGAGCCTGCTGTGTGTTATTTCTACAAAGTACTGGTTATGGGAATGGGTGGTTTAGTGAAGGGAGACTTGTAGGCGAAGTCTGACTCTAATTAGCTGGGCTTCTGTTGTGCATTTAAAAGGAATCAAGCAAATTCTTATAACTCTGAACACTTTCATAGCCATGTCTAGAGGTCCCTAGATTTGCCAGGTGGTCGGCTTCTGTTGTGCATTTAAAACGAATCAAGCAAATTTTTATAACACTTTCATAGCCATATCTAGAGGTCCCTAGATTTGCCAGGTGGTCTCCCTTCCAAGTGTGAATCTAGTCTGGCCCAGCTTAGCTTCCATCTTAGCTGGTTATTGTTCAGGGTGTGGTCAGGATGACATCGTGATTAATACTGATGATAACAGAGAAGGCAAAATCCTTATTCACAATATTATGAAAACAAATATGGTTCACAATATTACCAATGCATTAAAACAATCTCTCCAAGCTTTATATTTAAACATAATGGTAAATATTCCAGAAAAAAACCTATCCAGTGCTCTTAGGGAAGGCGCTGAAAAAGAAAAAGGGTCTGCGGCTCTAGATTTGCTTCTCCAGCTCAGACCTCTCTGCCCCAAAAGTCTGTATTGGGGCAAACCATGATGTTTGGGCAAGGCCGGTGATGGCGAACCTATGGCACACGTGCCACAGCTGGCACACAGAGCCCTCTCTGTGGGCACACGAGCCATAAGTCGCCATAGAGAAATGCCCATCCTCTGATCCAGTGGTCCAGCGGAGAGGTGCAATGGCAACCATTACCGGTGTAGCCCAATGTGGGATTGGAGGACCAGTAAGTATTTATTTGTTAATACCGCCCATGGGGGGAGGAGGGGAACACAAGCATTTAACCCCTGCAGTGCAGGAACAGTTGTTTTTTCTAAACTAAAACCTCAGCGGTTGTTGTGGGTTTTTCGGGCTCTTTGGCCGTGTTCTGAAGGTTGTTCTTCCTAACGTTTCGCCAGTCTCTGTGGCCGGCATCTTCAGAGGACAGCACTCTGTGCTCTGAGGCCTTGCTTTTTTTTTTTAGGTGGACTAATTTTGTATCAGTAACATGTGAAGGGGACCAAGCTTGGTAAGGGACTAATGTGCAAAACTGCTCCTAGGCTTTGAGTGGTTGGCTGGGAACATCATGAGATAAATTCCAATTCTCCATGGAACAGTTACATTCTGAGGGTGGTGGGATTGAAAGTGAGCAATGTAAATATTCCAGGCTTGAGGCCAGAATTTCTTAAGGGTACATCAGCCTCCTGAGGGAGCAAATACCAAGGGAAGGACGCTAACATAAAAGGAGAAAATAAGACCCCTATTCAGGAATCCAATTGTAGGGTTATGTAAACGTGTGAGGAAGGGAATTGCCCAGCCCTGCTCCTTCCACTATCTTCTACCTGTGGTGATTCTCTGTCTGAATCAGGATTTGGGTTTTCTAGGTTTCTAGTGCACCTGGATATCATCCATGCATTTCTATCTCTTTATAAAGACATGCTCTGTCTTAATTTCCAGAGAAGTAGTCATATTAATCTGTCTTAGCATGTTGAGGATGGCGGGAAGGAATGAAAAGACGTGTCAGAGGAAGTGAGTGTAAAAGCTCATGTTGATACAATCTTACAGTGATAACATCTTTTGCCCCTCTTTTCTTTTGCCAACATGTTTGGTCTGCCACCAATCTGCATACACCAAAATGGACAGCTAGTTCAGAAAAGTATTGATGCTAAGCAAAGAAAACTCCCTGATGGTTTCACGCTCAGTAGCCTCTAGCATCTTGCTTCAGAGTATGTGATCTTCTGTTTGCTATATTAGGTTGGTCCATGCATATTCTTTCAACAGCAGGAGAAAAATGACACATGTACAGAACATACCACACTTCAGCCCTGGCAGGAACACCATCAGACTTTGGAGAGGAAATTTCATGCCAGATGCTACCACTGATGAGACATGACATGGAGGTGTCAGAATTTCATCGGCTAGTGCAAGGGGGAATTGTGTGAGGTCACTGATGTTATACATATAAAATTATATCCTTGCTTATCTTACACGGTTGAGTCCCAGTAATGTAAGAGGAGGACATAGACTATGTGGTTCATGCATGTGATGCTAAATTATGGTTTAGCATCATGTGTCAACCCACACAAATAGAACAATCCCAGTTTCTTATATGGACAAAGTAAGAAAAAAAGCAAAGCTCACAGAGAAAAACAGTTTAATTAAAAGACACATACACACATCACTTCTATTGATACTGCAAAAATGAGTTTATTCTAATAGAAGCAAGAAGGGAAGGGGAGAGAGGGGGAGCTCTGGTATGTACATAGTATGCTAACAGCAAAATATAATACTAAATAAATTATTAAACTCAGATAGTTTGCTTTTAAAATTTTTATATTTCAGTTTTGTGAATAATTTTGATGAGACTTCTTGGAGCATCACCCAAAGAGGGCATATGTTTCTTTAAAGGTGCTGAAATACTGCATCTCTTGATCTTTTTCCCAACTGCATAGCACTATCTTAGTAAAGACAAAGGGCAGCCCAGAAGCTTGCTTCAGAGCAAGGAACTGGCAACCTTGGATTAATCTGAAGCTTGCCTAATATGTTTCACAATCAAAACCGAAATATAAAAACCATGGTTGCAAAGTGCAGAGAACACTAACTTGGTAAAGAAGAAAATAGAAACCATTTTTCTTTACAAATATGGTCCTGACCCTTGATTGGTTAGGAGGATTATTTAGGGCAGAAAAACAAGCATTTTGTTTTACTTGTGGCTGTAATAATTTAACTGCCACTGACATTTTTGTTTTGATTTGTTTTATTTTCTGTGAAATTCACCAATATTAACCCAGTGCTTATTCTCTTGCTCACAGACTTCTGACTCTCTTTTGTTCAACTGTACTCACTGGTTACCTTCCTGATTAAAAAAATATTAATTATTCCTACTCTTTAGTTTAGGCTGACCTTTATCACACAAGCCGCTTCTTATTTTATATTGCATGAAGTGCGGCTGACCCTATAACTTCTGACATGAAGCCACTGTAAACCCCTCTATTCACAAGCACTGGATCACAGTCTTTCAAGGAAACTGGTTTTAATAAAGGACACTGAGATGTCATACAGAATTCATTTATTGGCTTTTGCAGAGCATGAAACTAACCTGCAGATTATTCATCTTTCATGCAGAAATGCCAGATTCAAACAAATAGCTTACTGATGTCCCCCCACAAAAAATGAGCCCCGAAAACAAGCGTTACTAGATGTAGGTTTTAAATATGTTGTGTTTTAAAAAAAGCATCTACTAGCATTCCTCATATTTATGCATCCAGGACTGTATGCACTTCTGTATATTTTGTTTGATCTGCTGCATGGTCAGTTGCCCAGCACAAATTTGCCAATGGATGGAATTCTGGAGCTCTTCCCTTTTCTTGGAAGTCTGACTGATGCCTTGCTGAATCAATTCGTTTCTTCCTGAATTGTCTGGGGAGGTGAATAGAACAATAGCAAATCGAACGGTTTTGGTATGTCTACCCTGAGTTCTCCTTGGCGAACAACTATATAAGGCCTTAAGGTTTCAGCTGTTGTGGTCTCAACATGATTAAGAAGCTGCTGGAGATACTGGAGGAATGCTGTATAGTTTTCTATTGTGAAGTCGATCAATTTTTTCGTCTCGGCAATGAGCCTTTCATAGGCCTCAGAAAGGTGTTCGTACGCCTCCTGTAGTTTTGCCTTGACTTGTTCGTTTTGATCAGCAGCGCTCTTTCTGGCAGCTTCGGACCAATACAGGATTTGGTCATGAGCAGACTGAGACAGCTCATTGAGTTGTTCCTGTTTCTCCACAAATTCTTTGACTCGCTCTGTCAGACGTGCCACAAAGTCAGCAGTCTCACTAACATTTTTGGTATGCCACTCTACCACAGCACTGATGACACTTTTCAGCCAAGCCAACACTTTCTCTTCCACTTCATAATATTTGACAGACCAGCCAACAATGCTTGGGTCAAAATATTCCTCCCTCAGGACTTTTACACTCTGCAAAAATTCTTCCAGCTTTGTGGAGCCTGATTCTATGGTGTTCTGGATGATGTTTTCAATACGAGGACCCAAGTACTTTCTGTCTTCTGCTATACTCTTCAGTCCTTGTAAAAACTTTGTGAATGCTTGTTTTATCTGGGTGTTAACATATTCGTAGTTTTGGGCTTGTACATTTCTGACTAGCTCTTCTATCTTTTGGAAGATCTGCTGAACGACTTCTTTTAGGTCTCTCAGATGTTGTGCAAAGTCAATTTCCTGGATCCCAACAAATATCTGGTTGACTTTCCTGTGTACGTGTGCCAAAAATCCTTTAATTTCATCAAGTATTTGACTTCCTTTGATAATCTGGCTGGAAGCTGGAATTTGAACCTCTAGCTCACTGACAAAGGCGATGAAAGCATCAAAATATTCTTGCAATCTGGTAATGCAGAGGTCTACCACTTTGGCTACCTTTGCTGTGGCCATCACAAAAAGCTCTTCCCCGGTGTGTTTCTCCGCCATCCCTGGTACCTGAAGTTTTGTTACTTTCAAAAATTCAATGCCAGAGTCAAGAAGACGCTTGACCTTTTTATTGTACTCTTCTATTGTGTCCATTGCGGCACTGAAAATTTTGGCTCTGATTTGGTCATAGTCCATTTGGCTGGCTTGATCTGCAGCATCATAGTACAACCTTTGGGCCTTCTTCTGCAACTTCTGGTATTTCCCAGTAGCCTGGTTAGTGACTACATGAAGCTGATTCTCCAGTTCATTGATACTGTTCAGAGTGCCTCTGTAAGCTGTGTCAGCACTATTTCTCAGTCTGTCCTTGAGTTTTAAGGTGGCAGTACTGATCTTCATGCCCATATGCTCATAATGGTACTTGTCCACAGCTTGATACAGGGCATTGGCCATTTTAGGCATTTTCTCTTTTAAACCTTGGAGGAAGACTATGGCCTCGTCCTCTTTCCAGTTGGCTTTGTATTGAATATGTTCAGGATCATTGAAAGATATCTCACTTTTAAAGACATCGATTTCATTCTTGGGGTTGTTCTGTAAATGGAAAGTAAATTGTTAAGAGATTATTCTCTGCTTTATTATAAAAACATGACAATCATTTGCTATTAAATTTTCTGCCCTGGCTATACAGGTTTCTGATGGACTATGGCATGTAAAGTAAATTAAAACGTACTCAGGTTATGGCCTGAATTATCTTCTTCTCAGCAATCATTCAACAATAACTGGCTGCTATTATTACTGCTGCTATTTCACACAGGACACTTGGACATTTCAAAGATCACTGGGTTAATGTTTCCAAATGTTTACGCATCAACCTGTTTTGCAGTTTTACCCCTAAAGTAGACCAGCCATTGAATACATATTTGTGTTTAATGAGCAGGCTGTTGAAAAATGAAAATTGCAGCTGGCGGGAAGCACGAATCTGATGAATATTCAATGAACATTCTTCTTCTAAAACATCTTCCATGCAGAAATTTCCTGCCGAGATTCTCCCTGCAACAATGACACTTCACAGCTTCCGATGAAAACAAGATCCCGGTCTCCTTTTTTTGCCCTTATTCGTTCTCTCATTTTTAGCCTGCAATTCTGCAAGGGAAACTGCTAAATTCTGTGCAGCTTAGTGACTTTTCTGGTGATTAGTGCACAGGGAGAGGTACCCTACACAGGAAGTGTAATGATCCTGCACAGTATGGATTACCTTCTGCTTTTCCCACATGACATCTGCACAGAAAATATTCCATTCTGTGCAGGGTCGGTAACAATCCTGTGCAACATGTTGCTTATTCTGGAAAACTCCAAAACAAACAAACAAACAAAAACCCACAATTTTTTCTTCAAGATATTTCTTTAGGAGGGGGAAGTTTAATCTGATGAAATCACACTGCAAAGAGAATAGATTTCTTCCCCGCTTCTCACCAGCAGAGAAAGGCTGTCAGATCCACATTCCTAAGGGATGGTGGTGGTAGTTATAAGGACTGATTAAGTGGAAGGAAGTTAGTTTGTTCTTCTCCTGCTGGGATTCTTATGAAAATCCCTTTTCTTAAAAAAAAAGACATGGACTGATGGGTCTAAATTTGGTCCATGTCACTTCTGCATGTCTCCAAAGGAAAGGCTGTTCTAAAAATGAGAAATTAAGAACAGGAAAGTTCGTAGACGAAAGGAGTTGACATTTATTTAACTGTTAGTATCGAAGAAAAGGGTTTACCATTTAATTAATTCTTAGTGATTTCAATGGCCGCCTCAGTAAGAACTCATTAATAGCTAAATCACTTAGAAGCTCTTTCTAGTATGTTTCCGAACACTAGTTGAAAGTGACAACAGAGAAGACCATGTCTTCATCTTCCCTGGCTTCCACTTAGCATCACTGCCTGACAATTGATAATGTAGCAAGAGTGTGAGAAAATTATGAACCCTAATCAGGCATTCAGGTTAAGCTGAATAAAAGAGGAGAGGAAGCATTGTGGCCCCTCCATCATTCCTGTCTTTGCCTGGAGAGTGATAGTCTAAACAGGAAAACCTCTTCTATGCAAATAAGCCTGAAAAATCATGTAGTTTGTGAAGAGGTAACCATGTTAGTCTATGCTAGCATATCAGGCAAAAACAAAAGAAAACAAAAAAAGAAGACAAAAACACTGTGCTTCATGCAAGCTTTCATGGACAAGTCCACTTCCTCAGACATAAGAGTAGGATTACATGGCAAATATTTATACATGGCCCCGAAACAGAGACTGTATTTGGGTACAAGTTGTTGATAGTGCAGCATTTCACACTTGGCAATGACCTTTAATGACCTTTCAGACCTCTGTTGATATTCAGTTCCCCTCCCAGGAAGCATTGTTCTGTCAACAATGAAAAAAAAATCATGGTTGCAGATCACATGGAGAGAATACCTCCACAGCCCCTCTTGTCTTCTCTAGTCTGCAGCCTTTCACGTGAATAGATTGAATATGGACTGAGTGAGGCTAGCCTACTCCTCTTCCCATGCATTCCACTTAACACTACTCTGAATGCCTAAACAAGGCTTGGACTTGCAGAAGAAGAGGGGAAGGAAGCACTGCTATCATGCTTGCTGCCCAGAGGGAAAAGCCAAGTGTAATTCTCTTGCCCAGTGCTAATAATAACTTCATGGGGGAGGTACTTTGGCTAAGTTAACTGGTGCCATGTCCCAGGGAAATCTATCAGACAAGTGACTTGTCCTTCACATCCTGTCAGATTCTGTGGGAATGAAGCATGACTAATGTAGACTGAACCCCATCTGTGATGGTTGAAACAAAGGCACATTGTTTGATTTCCCCTGTTCCTACCTGAGTTTGGTAGAAAATCTTGCTCTTGAGGATATTGTCGTCCAGAGCGATCACAAAACCAAGAGTGCCGGCTGAAGAAGTTGTTGCTGAGACTGCAATTTTCGACTGATCCGAGTGGTAACGCACTTGAAGATCCGTGAATGTTGGGCTAAGGATGTCCACAGATCCAGTGTAGTCCAGGAGTCTAAATTGGTTACAGGGTAGCCAGAGGGGGGGGGATCATGATTTTTATTTATTTATTTATTTATTAGTTACATTTATAGCCAACCTTTTGTGCGAGGGCCCCTAGGCAGGTGGACAGCTTTCCCCTTGTTTTCTCCTCACAAAAGCTCTATGAGGTAGGTTACCTTGGAAGAAGATGACATAACTGCATGTCATGGAAGGATCATTAAATCTAATTTCTTGTGAGGAGATCGCCCGACACTGATTTTGCTGTCTTTTTGGCTCTAAACAAAGACCATTTTATGTGCCCAGGACTTTCACATGCCATTTAAACATGATATTAATGATCCTTCTAATCATCTGGATTTACTTTGTTGGTCTGTTATTTTACTATTACTAGCTTGTATTCAGTGGTGATTTTCTGCTCGCAGGAAGACGTTCACCTCACACATATTGATCAACCAGTCTTTTCTATCTGTGCAAATCCCATGCTACCTATTGTAGCGTTTCATGGAGTGTGTGGGGAAATTCCGTAGGAAGGGAAGATTCTGAAAACACTGGATGCCCCACTTCAGTCTAGTAGAAATGTATCCACCATTCGGGTTACATTCTTTGTTGAGTTTTATCTTTAATTATTAGTCTTAGCTGTTTTGAGCATTCTTCTGCATGATCAATGAAGAAAAAGGCCATGTAGTCTTGGTACAAAATCCAAAAACATGGGCAAATTATATCCTTATTATACCCCTAACATCTCACACAGCTAGCCTTCACTTGCTTTTGAGTGAAGAGATGCTAAAAAGCAATGTATCAAATTGTGTGTACGCGCACACACAGCTCGGCCACTAAGGATTTCCCTCACAATGGAAGTATGCCATTTCCATATATATGTGCGTATATGTATAATATTTTATATATAAGATGTTTATAACTAATAATTTTCACGAATATTAAGCAGCATGCCAGAGGCAAGGGGCATCATTGCTGATCTTGGGCTGTTAAAGGAGGGCAGAATGTAATAGTCTGTATTAGAATAATTAGAAATAATTAAAAATTAAAATTGTCTAAATATGCTTTGTCTCCCCCAAACGCCATGCTGCTTGTCATTCAGTTTACTGATAAGCTGATGAAAGAAGTACCTGTATCCTTGTAAAATCATAACTTCTTTGTAGTCGATACTCAGGTCCCGATGTGAGAAGGTGCCTTTAGTATTTGCTCTTAGGAGATCACCTTCATATGTGTAAATCGAAACACCTAGAAAGAAAACATTTCAGATACATAAATCAGAGAATCAAAGAATCATTGAATGATGGAGTTGGAAGGGGCCAATCAGGCCATTGAGTCCAGCCCCCTGCTCAGTGCAGGAAACCAAATCAAGTATATTTGACAGATGTTGAATTTTCTCTTGAAAGCCTCCAGGTTTAAAGCGCTCACCGCCTCCCACTGTAATTGGTTCCATTGCTGTACTGTTCTAATAGTTAAGATGATTTTCCTGATATTATATCAAAATCTGGCTTCCTGTAACTTGATCCCATTGTTACGCGTCCTACACTCTGGGTAATTAAGACAAGATCATGCCCCTTCTCTCTATAACATTCTTTTGATTTTTAAAAAAATGCAATCATACCTTCCTTCAGTCTTTTTTTCTCAAGGGTGAACATGCCCAGTTCTTTCATAGGGCTTTGTTTCCAGCCCCTTGATAATCTTTGTTGCCATCCTGTGAACTTGTTCCGGTTTGTCTCCATCTTTCTTAAAATGTGGTGTCCAGAACTGGGCACAGTACTCAAGATGAGGCCAAACCAGTGCCAAATGGAGAGGAACTAGTATCTCACAGGGTTTGGAGATGACACTTCTGTTAATACTGCCTAAAGTGGCATGGTCCTTTTTGGCAACCACGTCACACTGTTGGTTCATATGCAGCTTGTGGTTAATAAGAATTCCAAGATGCTTCTCGCAAGTAGTTTTACTGAGCCAAGTATCCCCCAGCTTGTAAGTGTATTTGGGTTTTTCTCTCTCTCCTAGGTGTAGAACTTAGCATTTATTTCTGTTAAATTTCCTTCTTTTGTTTTCAGCTCAGTGCTCAGACCTATCAAGATCTTTTTGCATTTTGTTTCTGTCTTCCAGGGTATTAGCTATTCCACCCAATTTTATGTCATCTGCAAATTTGATAAATAACCCTTGTACCTCATCCACATCAGTAATAAAAATGTTGAAGAACACCAGGTATCCCTTGCACCCCTTCATCCACGTCAGTAATAAAAATGTTGAAGAACACCAGGCTCATGACTGAACTTTGTTTTATCCCACATGTCATCTCTTCTCATTTTGAGAAGGCCATTGATAATTACTCCCTTGGTACAATTATACAACCAGCCGTGTATCCACCTGATTATTGTTATTTTCAACCTGCACCTAGTTAGATTACTAATATCAGAATATTATGGGACACTTTGTCAAAAGCTTTACTGAAGTCAAGATATATTATGTCTACACATTCCCACCATCTACCAGGGAGGCTGCCCAATCAAAGCATAAGATTAGACCAGTCTGGCCAGATTTGTTCTCAACAAATCTATGTTTGCTTCTGATTATTACTGCACAGTTTTCAAGATGCTTGCAAAGAATCTCTTTATAACCTGCTCTAGTATTTTCCCTGGATTGGTATTAGGCTGACTGGTCTGTAGTTCCCAGGCTCCTCCCTTTTGCCCTTTTTAAAGATAGGGACAACATTAGCCCTCCTCCAATCATCTGGCACTTCACCTATCCTCTATTATTTCAAGAAAATAATAAACAATGGTTCTGAGAATTCTTCATATAATTCCTTCAATTCTCTTCAATACAGTTCTCTGAACCCTGGATATTTTAACTTGTTCAAAGTAGTAAAGTATTCCTTGACAATTTGTTTATCAGTCTCAAGGTGCAATCCTGTACTTATACTCATCTTTGCCTAGAGCATCATAGATTTACTTATACTCATCTTTGCCTAGAGCATCGTAGACTGTCTTTGGGGAGAAGACTGAACCAAAGTAAGAAATGAGCACTTCTGCTCAATTAAAACATAAATAAAGAAATAAGCACTTCTGCTCAATTAAAACATAAATAAATATTACCTACATCTTACATGCGTAGAAAACAGAGGTGTCTGGTGCACTACATTAAAGATCTGGTATAACTAGTGAAGAGAGCATCACTTAGAGATTGAATTGTGTACCAGAAGTCACCTACATATTACATGCGTAGAAAACAGAGGTGTCTGATGCACTACATTAAAGATCTGGTATAACTACTGAAGAGAGCATTACTTAGAGATTGAATTGTGTACCAGAAGTCCCTAGTTGTTGATTTCCCTCCTGGTTTATACTACCAAGATGGCTTGTTTTCATAGTATTATCTACCTCCCTGTACTGTTTTAGTGGTAATGTTGAACAATCCTGTAGGTGGATGCAGGCGTTCAGAAGCATGTTGTAGGGAGCATGGAGCCCTATTTACTAGCTCTGCCTGCTCCACCTTTGACTTTGGGTTGAAGACACATAGATGCTCTCTCCATATTTGGGGACTCTGATTTTACTGAGTTCCTCATCACGGGGAGGATTCAACATGTGTTCAGCTAAATATGCTTAGACTGTCTCATTGGCACACACAGAGAGAGAGGCGGTGGAAATTCTGTTTTACTGAAGTACTGGAGCTCGAATTTTTTAAAGTAAAGAAATGTAAGGGAAGTCATGAAAGGAAAATGCACCCAAACCTCTCCCATTGCAGCTGCCAATGTTGCTTGGAGGGCAAGGGGGAGCTGTTTCATAATGTGGGATGTAAGGCAAGGCACTTCTGGAAAACAGGATATTATTCCAAAGTTAGACATAGACTGGATATGGAGGGCTTTGAGGGAGAAGCTACAGAGAGGAGGTGAATAAGGGTGAGATAGTTTCCTTCTATGAACTTTTAACTATTGATTTGGTTGAGTACCCAAGTCACTATGTTCAGCTGAAAACTGAAACAATAATAGGGGAAATATTACTAATCTTACCCTCTAGATCGTACTCCAAAAATTGCAGGGGTGAATTTGCAGTAAAATCAATTGAATGTTCAAAGGAGTCTTTGTTATTCTTGAACTCTGTTTCCCAAGTGCCATTGTACACAGGAGATGCAGCCTTGAAAGAAGCAGCCAAAGCTCCAAATTTGGGCAAGTAAATTCCAGCAGGCAAAGTGATTTTAAAGGTTGGGATTTCCATCTGTTGCTCAGGAATTGTAATTGTAGGCAGATCAAAGTCAGCTATCTTGTTGGCGACAGCATTCAAATCCACAACCACATTGCCCAGAGAGAATGTCTTTGGAAGAGTAAACTGGGATATAGTCAGTAGATTTTCCGGGACAGTCAGCTCAAGGTAAGGAATTTTATATTCTTCCACGTCAACATGCCTTGTTAGTACATCTAACTGGGGAACCTGGATTTTTGGCAGTGAAGGCAGTTTGATGTCAAATGCCATCATGGTCAACTTTTTGGGGACTTTGATTCCATTTATATTTATGGGGATAAAATAACCGTCTTCATTTTTGGTGTATACGATAGAGGTTGATGCATTCAAGTATTGCTTCTTTTCAGGACTAGTTGTGAGATCTAATTTCAAGATGTCCCATAAGTCCTTGTTGTAAACCGGCAGCACGAGGTATTTGAGGAAGTCCATGTGCCCACCCAAAGATCCCAGCAGCTCAAACTGAATTTCTCTGTCATCATTTGATAACTTCAAGTCATGCCCAAGGAAGAGAGTATGGATTTGGTTTTTGCTGTTCCAGGCTATCTTCTGGTTTCCTTTGTTGATGGCAATGAAAAAGTCTTGATTAACTGAAGTATCACAAAGCATGTCATTCGATTGTGTGGCTTGTACCTGAATAGCTGCTGAGAGACTTTCTGGTGCTAATTCAAAAGTTACTTTGCAGATCTGGTTTCCCATAGTTACAAAAACTGGACGATAATGAAAATTATTTTCTCCATTGTGGTCCCATACAGCATAAAGACGATGAATAGATGCTTCAATGGCCACATTTTCTTTCATATCAAAATTCCAGATCCCATCAATTTTAGAATTCGTTTCAAACTTGACTGAAGATCGAGCACCTTTAGAATTTAGGTAGGCATTTGCTTCATGAACCAGCTTTCCAGAAAATGGGGTGTCTTGGTAAAATGCTCCATTAATGAGAGCATTGGTTGAAGTATCTGCAGATATGTAAGACAGAATGCTTTCTAGGGAGACCTTATGGACAATTGCTCCTTTAGCTGTGGCAACAGGAATATCAATATCATAATTTAAATTTATAGTTGAAGAAATTATTGGTTTTGATTTTGTATTTCCCTTAAGTTCTTGTCCAAAATTTACTTTTAAGGCCGGTGTACTGATTTTTGCAGTGGTTATTACTGAAGCTTCTATGTTTCTCTTTGTAAGACTGATAGTGCTGTCATGGTTTCCTTCCACAAATTTATGGATCAGGGATAATGCAGTTGCTAGCTTCAACCCCCTCTTCCTTGTGAGACTGGTCGTTCCATCCAGTTTATACTGCAAAGCATCAATCACTGAAGTGGAAGATGAACTCAAACGAGCAATGATATCAGATTGGTTGAAAAAACCAGCGTTTGTGTTCAAGGTGATCATACTGGATTTGAATGAAAATTCATAGGTGAAATTTCCCAAGGCTGGAATGTACACTCTATCAGACGGACTGTGTATCTGATAGCTGGGAAGTTTCAATGTCTGGAGACCTTGGGGAATGTGAAGAACCGGCAGTCCAAATGATGGAAGGACTAATGTATATGATGGCACTGAAAACCCAACAAGTGGCACTTTGAAACTGGGAGTGCTAATTTCTTTTGGGATAATGTAGCCCACAGCTGGCAGCTCAGCTGTAAAGGGAGAGACCTCAATATTGACCACTGGAACGGTGTATCCTGGAATCCTGAAGATCTGTGGAACTTGGTTGGCAGAAGGATGCACTTTGTATTTGTCAAACTCGGTTTTGGCTTGATTGTATGACTCTGTCAGGAAAGCCAAGGTTTGGTCCCTACCTCTCTCAAAATGCTTGTTGAAGAACACAATATAGTCGTTGATTGCTCTATGCACTCCATCTAAAGGAATCTGAAATGAATGCATATCTTTGTTCTTCTTGTATTGAGCTTTTAGGCTTAAGTCAAATGATTGCTTTGTAGTCTTTAGGAAATTCTTCAACCCTGTTTCCTCCCACAGAGAGTATTCTTGAACCTGGGGCATCTTTACATCAAGGTAGGGGACATGTTGTTCAGGAAATGAGAGGGGAATTTTTAGGAAGTCCAAGTTAGCGTCACCATTTATAGACACGGACCCTTCAATGCGATCTTCATTGTTGCCAGCTGACATGTTGTGGGCATATTTGTATTGGTTAAATCTGCTCTCTGTTCTCCAGCTAACTTGTTGAGTGGAAGGACTCAGCTTAAGGTTATAGTTATTCAGAAACTCAACTTTGCTAACAATCTTCAGTGGTAAGCTAACTTTCGCATTCAGATCATTATTTGTTGATGCACTGATTTCAAAGGGCTGTACCAAGAAGGCCACATCATTATTCAAAGTCCCAGAGATGCGTCCACTTAACTTAGCATTGTGTGTTCCACTGACTTCTATTTTCAGTTCTGCAAGATTCCCAGTGCCTTGTAGGCTCAGGACACTACGCCCCAACAGTGGAGATTCCACTGTCGACTCAACCTGCAGCTTTGCAGAACTTGGTAAATTATATTCATATGCCAGTCTTTGGTTGACTTTCAAGTACTTATCATTTATCCTGTTTTCGGCCACAAATGCAGCTACAGATCCTCCTACACTGAAAGTGACACTTGATTCGTGGGTTCCTTCATCAGAATAATCATGTGTGGCCCATTTCCAGTCTCCTTTTCCAGTAGAACTCAGTAATATGCGTCCTGCTTCCAGTTCTGTTGATATCACATTGCTTAATTCAGCTTGGCTGGTGAACTGGGCCTTTGGAATATTTAACCTATGAGTGTATGTTGTCTTACTCTCCATGGAAATCTTCTTCTGAACATTGACTGTTAGCTTGTTGTGCAGATCCATAGCATTCCGTGCACTGAGGACATTTGCAGTGGTTTCAGAACTACCTTGAACAGTGGTCCCTGTAAATATCATTTCACCAACATGATCAGCTTTAATATAGACATGGGAGAACTTCAGGCTGTCTCTTAGGATTAATCGCTGCATCTCGGGAGCAAGAAGTCGTGAATCTGCAGTCAGTGTGAAAGCAAGGTAGTTGATCTTGGATGTTGTAATAGCTGACACAGAAGCCACAAATTCTGGACTGTGTTCAGAAGCTGTTACATTGTGGAAAGCAGCATCAGTTGTCAGAGTGAAGAAGGGAGAAGCAACTCGGAAAGTGCCTGTTAGTTTTCCAAAAGTAGGGATAGTCACAGAATGCGGAATACGTGGTAGCTGGAATTCTGGAATATGGATATCTGGAACCTGAAATTCTTCCAAATTTAGCTTGGGGATTGATAATAAAGGTACTTGTAGCTCTGGCAAATTCATTTCTGGGAAATGAAAGTCAGGAAAAGACATATCCTGCACCCTTAGGTCTTGGAAATACACGCCAGCCTCTGGCAACTGAAAGTCACTTCTCAGAATTTGATCAATCATCTTTACAATCTTCAGTTTGATTTCATTCAGGTCAATAGTATAGGAAGGGACCAGAAAGGCATTTAGGATAGTAAACTCAGGTGTTGTAAATCTGGTTGGAATTTTGATGTGTTTCATATCCTTGAAGTTTAGCTGATATGAAGGGACATGCAGGTCAGTAAATGGTATTATAAAATCTGGTGTTTGAAATGTTGCTTCATGAAGAGCTCGGAGACTGACTTCAAAGGCAGGGATGTTGATTATTCCTGTTCTCATTTCAGGAACCTTAAAGCCTGTTTCAACAAACTGATTCAAGCTGTCAGCCATATTTTTAACATTGTACTTTTCAGCAAAAGCACTAATCTTCTTTGAGGCAGTCTTCCACTGATGAGTTAGATAGTTGACTATGGTATCATACAAATGACCTACTTTCTCAAGGTATCTTTGGCACTCTGCTGCAATGTCCATTCGGTAAATCCTATCACGTGCGTCTTCTAGATATTCACATGTCTTACTTTTCAGTTCCCTTATGGCTGTAGAACTTAAGAGGTTGTTGAACCAGTCAATGATGACAGCAAGCCTTGTTTCTTTTAATTTCTGAATGTACTGAGAAACTACAACATTGACATCTTTGATGTATTGTTTTATAGCTTCTGCTTTTTGGGGTAGTTCTAATGCTTTGATTTCATCGTTGATTTTCTGTGTAACTTCCTGGATTTTAACATTTGCTTCATCTACAAATTTGTTGTAATCGAATGCTCTCACTTTCTTTATAGCAATATCAAGGAAATCATTGATTTCATCCACAAGATTTTTGTAATCAAATGTCTGGAGCTTCTTGACTGCATCATCAACAAATTTCAGTACCTGATTGAAGAAGACTTTTATGTCTATTTTCTTCAGTGAGTTGGTCAATTTCTGAACTGTTTCTCGGATTTTCTGTTGGTTAGACAGCTCTACCAACTTATCTATCAGAACTTTGACTTGTTGGTCTACTTTGTAGTTTACAATAAGTTCATGCATTTTGGCTCGGAAGACATTGATCTTCTCAGACACTTCATAGTCTTCCGCAAAATTGAGAAGAATGTCTTTTATTTGTTCAAGAATTTGATTAAGTTTTTGAAGTGGAAAGGACACTTTAAACTTTTCTAAAAGATTTCCAGTGTCGATTGACTGGATCGCCAGCTTCATGTTCTCTGCAATATGTGTGGCATCCATCCTCTGAATCTGTCTCTTCAGTTGATCAAGTTTTTCTTGTACTTGAGCTTTGATTTTGTATTGAGCTTCCATATTTTGAGCCCAAGCTGCCACTCCATTTCCTAGCTGGCTAGGCTCAAACTGAGAGACAATGGATTGCAATTGTTGAATAGTGTTAATCATTTTTGTGCTGATTTCATACTGTTTGTCTAGAATTTTCATTTTTTCAACAATTTGGTCAATGAGTTGTGCAATAGCTGCCTTCAAATCGTAGTTCTCCCTGATGTAGTTTTCAGCTTCTTCCAGGAATTTTTGCAGCCGAGACAAAGCTTCCTGAAGATTAGCTTTAGTATTTTCTAAAAAAAGTTGAAGGTCATCTACCGTGATTGCATAATCCTTTATGAAAGCATCCAGACTCTCTTTTAGGTTGTTGGCTTTACTTCTCAAATCAAAATTGTTCACATACTCATTGATCTGTTGAGGTAATTTATCCAGTGCTGTCCTGTATTTTCTTATGAACTGCTCTACATTTGCATCTCTCAGGTTCTTCTGAAGAGACTTCAGTACAGTTAAGAGGGACCGCCTCCATTGCTCATAATAAGCAGGTAAATATTCCAAGAAGGGCAAATTGATGACATGCACGTCGTTGTTCTTGTCATACTTCGCAGAAAGAGAGAGACTAAACTCTTGAGGCTGGGCTATATTGTCCCGCAGATCAAATGTGTCAACTAGGTTGATTCTGCCAGTCCTTGTGAGAGGTATGTTTATAGGGAAGTCCAATACAGAAAGGTCTGCTAAAGTTTGTCCACTCAGTTCCACCCCAATTTTTTCCGCATTGTTGAAGGCACTAAAATCTTGAGTGTACACATTATCGTTGAGTTGGCTTTTCATTGTCCAGGCACTGCTTTGTTCAGCTGGAGTAAAAAGTACAGTGACTTTATTATCAAGTAACGTTTTGTGTCTTGCCCCTGAGTTGAAGTTGTGATCAGTGGTTCCTTTGTAATAATGAGAAAATGTAAAAGCAAGGGGCTCCACTTTTAGCAGAAACTTGCTGTAAAGCTGCCCTGACTGGTCTCCCAAAACCCGAAGTCTCCCGTCTCCATTCGTATGCATGTCAAAGGTGATAGTGAACGGGGCCACAGCAGATCGAATTTCATTGGTAAAGGTTAGAAATTTGGAATTACAGTTTGTGTTGACAGCAATGGAAGAAGAGAGTCCTGCGACATCCAAGCTAAATCTGTGGACGAGAGCTGCCCCTTGAACGCTTCCAACAGTGTCAGTCTTTAAATGTGCCACCAGGTCCGCATAGGTGAAGATGTAGCTGTGCTTCACCTCATCGCCACTATAAGCACCTTTCACGTTGCCATCCAGATTTACCTTGAGAGGCTCAAGTTGCAGCCGGGCTTTGTTGTTGACACTGGCAGCAAGGTATTTTAAGTCGTTGTTCACGTTGGCTGTGAGAGAATAGGGTTGCAGCTGCAAGTCCAGATGGTGCTTGTGTGATTTTGCTGAGCTGATGATGTGGTCTAAATTCGAAGTGTAAGTCAAGGACAAGCCCGCAATGTTTAAGTCATGGGTGTGTTCGAGCTTCATTTCTTTGTAGGACCCTACCAAGCTGTTGGAAAACTTGAGCCCTCCTTTATTGACTCTAAAATTCAAAGTGTTCTTGCTGTCCACATCTAAAAGGCTGCCTTGATAGACGCTTGTGAGCACCACTTCCGTGAGAGCCGCTTTCCCATCTAAGTCAAACTTGGCATTGTGTTTCCCAAGGCGTCCGTTAGCATTGATGGTCATGGAGGCTCCTGAGGTGCCAAGTCGGGCGTTCATTTCATGCTCCACCATCAAGGGGCTAAATTGCACTGTTGTCGTTGCAGCACTGGCCAGCCCATCCCGGTTAATGCTCAGTGTGGATTTGTGTTCTGCTTTGTTTCCTTGCCATCGTCCCATCACGTGGCTAATTAGTTCAGCACCTCGGTTATTAACGGAGCCTGAAATCAGAGCATAGCCTTGGTTCCGTTCATGCGTGGCCCGATACTCTGAGCTAAGTGCAGCCCCCTGTTTCTCCAGAGTGACATCAAACTTATTGGTTGCTACCAGGCCTCTGTGCCTACCAGCTGTCTCAGATGACAACTTCAGCTGGCTGTTTTGATACTTCAAGGAAGCGGTGTTGGTCAGAAAGCCATTCTGTACATTGGAGACTGAGGTGATTCCCCAGCCATCTTCACTCATCCTCCCTGTGATCTGATTGGTAGCCTGAAGGAAGGAAGAGTCAAGCTTCAGGTTGGTTTCAGCTGCTAGCATTTGGCTGTTTGTGTTATAGGTGAGCAACTCTGTATATGTGGTTTTCACAAAGGCTGAGGCAATGTCCAGTTGTGCTTCTAGGTTTCCATTTCCAACCAACAAGTTATCTTTGTATTCACTATTTCTGTTAAGAGACAGGGAGAAGCGAGCACCCAGAGGGGTTGAAGCACCAAACACAGCAGTTGTTTTGGCTGTGGGGTTAGGTTCAAAGATGGCTCTTTCGTTGTATTTAAAATTTGAATTGAGAAGTCTGTGTTGCAAGGAGCTTTCATAATCACCGGTGTATGTGTTCCTGTCATAATTTATTGCTCCCTGACCTGAAACAGAAAAGGGAGAACAAAATTAGAAAAAGGCACAGGAAAGTTAAATAACCAATGCAGCTTTGTTGTTCGACAGCTTGTGTTTCTAGCAATATTCAGCTAAAAACTGTGTAAGATTTTCAGAGAAATAAGTCCCACTTGATTGGAATGTGAATGGAAACAGTTTTTAAAACTGGCTCCATTTAGAACCAAGTATGTATTCAGATTTTAGTAATCCCTGGCACCCATTCTCAATGGGGGCCATATGGCTGCCTAGGGGAAGCCCTGGCACATTTGAAGGGGGCCACCAAAACTGTGTAAGATTTTCAGAGAAACAAGTCCCACTTGATTGGATGGAACTCGTTCCCAAGTAAGTAGGCATAGCATAGATGTGAATGGAACTTTTAAAACTGGCTCCATTTAGAATCAAGTATTCAGATTTTAGTAATTTCTGGCACCCATTCTCAATGGCACATTTGAAGGGGGCCATACATTGGAAAAAATTATTCACACACCTCCTTATAAGAGTTGTTAAATGACTTATATAATCCTGATTTGGCCATATTTCTGTCATATTTTGTTTATGGCCATGGCCAAAAAAAAAAAAAAAGGTTGAGAATGGCTGACCCTAAGACTCCAGTCCTGTACACAAGCACATAGAATTAAGTCTCATTAAGCTCAGTGGCAAACAATGTGGTTTTCCAGATGGCATTAGACTGTAACGGCCATCATCTTTCACTGATGGCTAGAGCTGATAAGATATGCAGTTTCTTGGGCAAGCTATTTCTCCTCAGCCTCCATTCTCCAACTCCATAATACTATTCTTTCTCTCTTCCTGTTCCTCCAAGATCCAGGACAAACACAAAGACAACAGCGAGAGGAAACTGCTATGTAAATATTACCTAGTTTGTTCTGTATTTCATATAATAACAAAAACTGGCTAGTATACATATAAGAACATGACCAGGCTGCCACAAATCCCTGCACAAACAGTTACAGGTATACATTCAAAGAGTCCCTCCCTGGAGTCAGATATTTGCAAGGAGTCCTCTGAGGTTTGGTTTGGTGTGGGTTTTTTTTTTTTGTTCAGACTCAAGGGTAGCTTGGAAGTTTCACTTTTGGAGAAACTCAAACATGAAACAATATCTTCATTTTCCTATGACTTGGTGCTCAGAGAAAAGGAGCTGCAACGTGTTTCTGAAGGGCAATAGCAGGCGCCATGACAGTGTTATGGACAAGGAGCCTCACCTCGCACATCGTATGAAAGTAGATCCAACACAGAATCCGCCTTTATGAAGTAGCTTGTTCTCAGGCTGTAGGTGTCACGCGTGGTGTTTGCCAAGTAATAAGAGCCCGACCAATTGTAGTAATTGCTGTACACATTGGAAGACATCTCAAAGGTGTCCAGCAACGGGATTCGAAGTGTGTAAGACTCCGGGATGGTGAACTGTGGAATTCTGTACTCTTGTGATGGCATGTTCATACCCAGGGATTCCATTACCAATGGAGGTGTCCTGACAGTTTGGGGCACTCGTATGTCATAGGAGGATCTTCCGCCAAATGGCAGAGGGATGGTGAGGACAGCACCCTCCTTGTTCCAAATGTACTTAATCTGGCCGTCACTGCAATTAATACCAAAGAAATAAGAGTGAAGACTCAGTGAAGAACTCAAAGTGATAAATAGTGGCTGCACTTTGCTTAGCAAGTGCCCTTACACACAAAGACAGACTAGGTTTTCCATCAATCCAATCTGGTGGTTTGCCTTGCATCTCTGTCTGAGAAGGGTCTTTCCCATCATCAGTTACTGGAGACCCTTTTAACTTTTGTTATCCCAGTTTGAATCTACATGCAGATTTGATTGAAATATAGTCCTTTCAATATATACTTATATATACTCAATGTATTCTTAATATATACTCAATATATACTCAACGTATTCTTAGTGGGGGATTTTAGTGGGTGGGGAGTGTTTGGAGATTTTTATGTATGTGCATGTGGGTCTGGTCTTTGGGTGTCTGTGTGAATTTCGTTGTTTGGATATACCTTGTATATACTTACAATGACAATAAATTGGTTTAAAGATATACAAAATAGGCTAACTTTGACAAATAGCAGACAACAGCGAACACCAGTGGAGGTTACTGGCTCCAATGTCAGTAGAGTGGTTAATCTCCTCTGGGTTTTAGTCTGATCTTTACAGAACCCAGTCAAATAGATTCAGCACCTTGGATAGCTTCTTTTTAAAATCAAGTTAAAAACCAGAACAAAATCACTCTCACTGCGCCAATAACATGGGAGCCACTGGGGATAACTCCCAGGCAATGAATATGACTAGCAGTGCTGTGTGACCTTGAGTGGGATAGGAAAAAGGACCTTCAGACATTTTCCCTGCTAGAAACTCAAGAGGCTTCCAAGCAAAGCTTTTTTTTTTTGCACAATTGTTCTAGATCAATGGTTCCCAAACATGGGCGTCCCAGGCGTTCTTGAACTGTACCTCCCAGAAGCCTTCACCTCCAGCTGTGCTTTTTGCACAATTGTTCTAGATCAGTGGTTCCCAAACATGGGCATCCCAGGTGTTCTTGAACTGTACCTCCCAGAAGGCTTCACCTCCAGCTGTGCTGGCTGGGGTTTCTGGGAATTGCAGTCGAAGAACACCTGTGTTACCTAAAGTTGGGAACCACTGATCTAGACCAATTGTACCAAAAAGGGGAGTTTTCCCTGGAATTCTCTTGATCTAGACCACTGAAAAAATGTATAGAGGATCCAGACACTGTTGAGTTCCAGTTATAACTCTCCCATCAGTTATTCCATCCTTTTTCTTATCGCAAAAGAAAAACAGCTAACAATAACAAACAAAAACAAACCAAGCTACATACTTGATGGAGTGACTGGACAATGTCTTTCGGGTTCTGTAGTCCTAGGAACCATTTGTGTGGAAGAACCCATGTTGATGACCCAACATTTGGCTAGTTCTTGTATCTTGCTAAAGTTCTGTGAGTTGGTATGCATGTGGCAAGCAGTTTTGTCCAGCTTCAAGAACACAAAGGCCTTTGCCAGTACTGAATTAAGTGTATGATGAAGAATTTAAATCTTTTCGTTTTACCTTCTCCAGAAGAGCTCCTCGGGAATGGTGATAAGGTCAATGTTCTGAAAGTTTAGGTCTTGAAGTCCACTCAATCTCTCCTTTAGATGTTGGGCATAAGGGACATTCCTGGATGTCTGCTGTAGCCACGTATTAACTGCCTGCAATTTCAGAGGAAGGCATCACAGTACAAAAGACTTATGATCTAGTCACTGTGTGACAAATGGAGTATTTTTGGTTCAGTGTCTATGTAGCCTTGGTGGTATGTTAGTCTCAGTAACAGCATCACTTTTTTTTTCTGCACCGCTGGGATCATGTGAGAACCATATGGGAGAAGCGTAACATTGCAACCTCATACCAATACTTCCAGAAGTGAATCGATCATTGCTATGGCGAAAAGCCTCAGTATGATCTCCTACAATTGCATGGCCCCTCACTTCCTGTTATGCTGATGGCTCCCACACGGACAACTGCTCCTCTGGTTTTTCTGGGCCTTTGCCTCTCTTGTGTCAGTGAATCACCGCTCCCCTTCTCATGGTGACAACAATCCCAACTCTATCTGACACATGGTAGGAGAAAGCCACACGTATCAGATATAGGACCACGTTCTCTTTTGGATGTATGGGTGAGCAGTTGTACAAAGACATCTAGAAAACCTTGCTGTAAAACATCCCCTTTATTTCCCGTGTAATTAGCTGTCTGCTTTTCTGTATTTCTGCCATTATTTTTCCACTTAATGGAAAATGTTTTACCTATGTTTCATAAAACTGGAACACACTAATATAGGCTGCAATTCTCAAGAGTAACAAATATTTCTAACCACAAACACATCTAACCATTCAGAACCAATGCTTCCCCTAGCATTCACTGCCTCCTGGTGACAGCCACTGGTAAGTAGTAAGGCCTCTCTTCTCCTTGGTCCCTCCTGATGTATGGATTGGTGTCTGCCCTATTTCATCAGCTAGTGTTGGGGTTGATGTAGAGCTTGGGGAGAAAATCACTCATTTGGACTTAATACATCTGTTGTTTCTTAATACATGCCATGCTTCCTAAAAATCCACTGCATATACCCTTGAGAGAATCACTCATACCCAAGATTAGTATGGTTCCACCAGGAGTTTTCTGTGGCAGATATTTCCACTTACTGTTATGAAATGAGAAACAATATGGCGGAGCGTCATATCTGTATTGACTACTTTGTGATCCAGCATCTCATTAGCCCGTTTCTGGAAAGCCCTTGAATAGTCTGCAAAATCAGTAGGTAGTTTGCCTGACATTTTCTTCAAGGCAGCGCTAGTGCCTGAATTCCATTGCATTTCAAATTTCTCATTATCTGAAATCAAGGGAGGGTCGGGGAGAAATAAACACATTAGTATTACCTTCGACAAAGCCTGTTTGCAAAACTGGGGGGAAAATCCCTCAAACAAATCCAAAAGAAGCAACAAGAATAAACACATACGTCCGAGACAAACATCTGATCTGACATGTTGAAGGAAGACTGGAATACGCTGAGGGCAGGTAGACCAAAAATATATGATAGGAATATGGGAAGCGGGCTAACACCAGATCAGACTATTGATCCTTTAAACTCTGTTTTGACTTCTATCAAGGTAGACTTGAGGCTTCAAATATCTAATTTCTTCTAGAACCCCAAAGAGGAATCCAACAGAACCTGGTTCAGAAGGTATGCTATAGAAATGAAAGAATCGTGTGTCCAGGAGTTAATTTCAGAGCATCTGAACTGAATTGAGCTCCTAGCTCTTCTGTGAAATCAAGAAAAGTCCACAGCTGGTTATCTCTAAATTCACTTCAGGTAAATCATCCATAACACTTAGAATTAGAGGGAAATCATTTGGTTGCTGCTACAGTTGAGTAAGTCAGGGAGGTAAACCTTTGGTTATGGGGCCAGAGGTTGAGAATTTGATTCCCCACTCTGTGTCCCAGATTCTGTAGCCTTAGGCAAGTTACACAGTCCCAGGGCAGCCCAGAAGAAAGGAAATGGGAAACCACTTCTGAGTACTCTCTACCTGTAAACTCTGGAAAAAGTTGCCATAAATCAGAATTGACTTCCCAGCTTGTGATTATGATAATAGTTGAACAACAGCAAGTCATGTCAACCTAGTACAAATCTCTAAAACATCCACCCAGAAGGTAGACACTGAAAGGGTCCAGGATTAGAGTGTGATCATCAGATCGGGATTGCTCAAAGCACCTTGGATGACATGTCTGCATAGGTCAATCTTTCATGTTGGGAAAAGAGCCTACCATATTTCAAGACAACTCTTTCTGAAACTGAAGAACCAAAAGCTGTGGCTGAAGAGTCAACATGAAACACAATCCCATCTGGTGACTTCTGAAGGGATACATCTGTTTTCGCCTGGGTTTCCAAGCGTGGAATAGAGATCGAAGCTTCCCCTGATGACTCTCTTCCAGGGCTGTATCTGGAAAACAGCAACCAAGAACACAAACATGACTGTACGTTCCTTATTTTCTTCATTTGGGCCTTTGATTTCATAATAGGTGAAAAACAAGGTGATAAAAAAGTTCATTTTTATTTTCAGATCTACCAGAACACCTATAATTGCTGCATTCAATTATTTCTCTCGCTTTATTAACTAATTGTGCATTTAAATATTATAGTAGGCTTCAAACATTGAATTCAGGCATTTCAGATTCTACTGGAATGGTTTAACCTTGAAAATGGCTTCCTTTCTCTCTCCCCCTATGTATTATGTGTTAAAGACGCTAGTCATCAGTTTTGAAGAAACAAAAGACAAAGGAGGATTTCATGTAAATGGACTTCAAATTTCTTTGTGAAAGGTGTGAAATGTTTATCCCTTATAATGTCTTGATTTCTCCTCACAAGACTATGTTTATGAACAATAGGAAATCAGGGCAGTTTTCAGAGAGAGAGGGAGCAACTGAGGATGAAAAGTACCCTCCTTTGGAGAGTTTGTTCAGAAATGTCTTTTGAAACTGGGCCAATATGTTGCATTTAGATTAAGGGCAACGGTGATAAGAGGGGCAGTGACCCTCTCTCCAAGTTCAGCTTGCCTGTGTCGGCATTAACATCTTTGTATCTTCCCCTTCGCCACGTGAATCATCTCCTTTAGCTGAGGATCACTAATGCAATGAACCAAGGAAGGAGGCATCGTAATCAGAAGTTGAAAAAGGAAGGCAGAAGCCAAAACTAGAGAGTAGCAAATGGGGATGCTGGAATCAAATTTGATGTTTTGAGGGTCTTATTTTTTCCAGTGCCAAATGTATTTTATGACTCATCCTTATGATGGCAGAAGACTATAGCTAGGCAACTGGGATCATGTCATCAGCCTCATTTGTTCTGGTGGAATCAAAAGTATTCTATTCCCCCCCCATCCCAGTTCTTGGGATCCCTAGGGATCCATTTTGTCCTGAGGAAGCTTTTGAGAGCCATGAAGCAGGAGAAGGAACTCTTCACTGCTTGAATATTGCTGCAGAAGCTCTCTAAATCTTTAAGGGTCAAATTAGATGTGAATTGGATATCATATCATAGCTTCTCTTCAAGTTTGTATGTCTTCTCTCTGATAATGGGATTTCCTCAGAGATGCCTGTCTCAACGATTAGACTTACAATATAAGCCTGTTTTTACTTTCCAAGGACCAAGGAGAAAATAAGGAACAGCTAAATGCAACACATGAGCTGAAGAAAAAGACATGGCATGACAAACAGATGTTTCTCACCACTTCACAGAGCACTCCTTCTAAATGTGAACTACCTGTCTTGTCTTGCCTAGCCTGACCCAAAGACACCAGGAGGTTTCCTAAAGTAGTGAACTGTGGAACAAGGTCCCCAGTGGTTCAAGGACTTAATGGTCCCCTTCCCTCAGGATCCACCAATCACTTGGAGAGATACTGAGTTCTCCAACACTGGAGGCATTTAAGAAAAATGTAGACAGCAATCTGACAGATATCTTTAATTTTTATTCCTGTGTTGAGCAGGGGGTTGGATTAGATGGCTTTATAGGCCCCATCTTTACTATCCTTCTGCAAGCAGGCAAAGACCTTTCTCTTCAGACAAGTCTTCCCTCAGCAAGTAGCTACCTGTGTGTGATTTGATAGAAAAGTAATGTTATGCATTACTGCTTTGACTGCATTTTTAGTACTACTTGTGTTTTCAATTTTTGTGTTTTCCATTTCTCATAGTGGCATTGGTGTTTTCCTTTAATTGTATACTTATTGTTCTTAGCTTTCATATTGCCTTTTAATTATGTAAGGTGCCTCTTTGTTCTTAGCTTTAAATATTGTCGTTTGATGATGTTAACCACCATTGTATACTCATTGTTTTCAGCTTTAAATATTGTCTTTCATTGTAAGCTGCCTTGGGTCATTTTCAAGGAGAAAGGTGGGGTAAAAACTATCTTAAACAAATGGAAAAAAAGGAAATAAATTATTCTGTGCTTCCGTCGACAATTTCTACTTAATACTGAGATAGATATCGCAAAAATCAATGTTTGCTTATAGCATTACCCTATGCGTCCTGTAAGAGTAACTTCAGGAACTTTCTTGTTGTTGATGTCTAAAATAAATGTATATGTCTTCCTTTCCTGAGTCGAGGAATCGGTAATTCTGAAGTTGGTACCAACGTCAATGTTGAAACAGGGTACGTGGAGATCACTGGTAAAGATGTGCTTGCCTCGGTTGTACCTGAAGATTAGTGTGGATTCAGATTGTTTGACACCTGAAAAATACAATAGCAAAGAATGGTGGATGCTCATACAGTATTAGTACAGATCAGCCTTCCTCAATCTAGCAGCTTTCAGACTATATTGGACAAAACATGCTGCCCAGCACCTCTGGAGGCACCAGCACAGAATCTGCTGTGTATACAATAGCAAAAGCTGGAACCCTTTGCTCAGGGAATAAAAAGAAACACAATAAAGTCCTTGCTTCTTTTGGATTTTGGCTCAACCTTACAATCTCCCTTGGGGTTCAGATGTGCATGCACATCACTGGTCTCCCTAAACTTAATGGCTAGCTGCTGAACATAGAAATCAACCCAATGAAGAAAGCACTAACCCAAAGTCAAAGCTCCATCTGTGGTGGCAAACCTATGGTGAGTGGTGCCTTTGTCAAGGTATCGGCATGCCTGCATGAATCTGGCTTTGTTACATGGCTACTTTGAGAGCCTTTGATAGACGTGACATAGGGTGCGATCACACAGGGAAATAGATGGCATTTTGCGCTGCTTGTGGAGTGGCCCAGGGCAAACTATTTCCTAGCGATCACATGGCCTACTCAGACTTGCATTCCAACCCAACCCTGATCTATGCCCAAGCTGATTCTCTTTGGTCCAGTTGTACGGCTGCTACTTTTTGGAGCCAGCCTGGAGTGATTCCCAACAGATGGAAGGGTGGGGGCTTAAGGAAGACCGCTTCCTGCAAAACAACCCTTTCTGGTGCGATTGGAAGTGTCCTCCCTTTCTCATTGTCTGATGACGCCCTTAGATTCTTTTCTGAGCTCTGCCATCAAGTCATTTCTTACATTTCTGGCTTACAGTGACCCCCAATAGGATTTCTGAGGTATGTCAGGTGTTCCAGGAGTAGTTCATCATTGCCACTCCCAAGTGAATTTCTATAGCTGGGTGGAAATGTAAATCTTGGTCTCCTGAGTCCCAGACTGACATACCCCTGGCTCTCAAAACATCTACCAACACATATCATTGCACAGTCTCTTACCTTCAACCTGAGCAATGAACTTCATGGTGTCTACTAAGTCTTCCTTCTCTTTCTTCAATTCATAATTGGCACTTAGACTGTATTCCCTTACTTCTCCTGATGGCTGGAGTTCAATCTCATACCTAATGTCAAAGGGAATGACAACCTCTTATTGTCAATAATCAAGTACAGCCATAGTTCATTTGTAAAATGCACTTAACTGGAGTGACACAGATGTCACTGTCACGTGTGAGCACGTACACACAAACACAATCATAAAATACTTGTCACCAGGGAAGGGTGTATTCTGAGATTCCATCTTACAGATATATCGTACGATGCAAGGCAAACGATGCAAGAGTTTTTCTGAGGTTTCTGTCTAATCATCACATCTGTTGGGAGGTACCGGGGCCCAGGCAAAGAAAGGAGGTAAGGCTTCCATGTTGGCTGGCTTTGGATAACGACGGATCATTCAGACTTTTGTCATAGCTGAGACTTAAAAAGAAGGAGAAAGCCACATAGGCCAACTTACCTGGTTTCTCCAGTGAGAGGATAATATGGGGCTGCCTCAATGGAACTGGCGTTGGAGTATTCTAGTTTGGTACAAAGGTTCACGCCAGTAAGGAAAGGCGTGCAAGATATTCGGGATTCTCTGTTTTCAATCAGTGGGGGAATCACTTCGGTCCGAGTGGAGGTGACCAAGTGCAAGACATTGCTGCAAAAGAGAGGAATATATTATGTTGTTTAGTCATTTAGTCATGTCCGACTCTTCGTGACCCCCATGGACCAGAGCACGCCAGGCCCTCCTGTCTTCAGAATATAGTATACTTTCCCTTAAACATATTATACTTTCCCTAAGACATCCCGAATCACAAATTCCCCAGACTCCTGATCCTAGGTTGGGGTGTTCTGAGGCTGATGGGGGAATGAAGCCTTGAACACCTGGGACAGCCCAGTTTGGGAAAGGCTGCATTGATGTAATAAGCAGTCCAAGCAACAGCAACAACAACACTGGACCATGGCCTTGATTTAATATGTAGCACTGCCCCTAGCTGGGAAAGGAGTGGTCGTCATTGTTTTAAAAAGCAGAGGATCATGACGTTCATCCTAGGATGAGAAAGAAAAGGCTTACTGGTAGACAATGAGAACGCTGGAGGTTGGACTGGGAGATTCCCTATTCCTAAATCATACCTGACACTGAAGATTTTGGTTGGAGTCTTGGGTGCAGGCATCGTCAGCTTCAGTTGTCCAGCTTTCAACCCAACGTGGGCTTCAAGTCCAGACTCATGGTAAATATTAGTATTCATCTGCACACCACTTCTAGCAAACTCAGGGATATTCACTCCTAGATGAGTGATGAACTCAACACCCACGGAGGGTTTAGCAATCAGTTCCATTTGCAACTGTGGGAGAGACACAAACACACAAACAGTTATTTCTCTTTTTTTCAGCCCGCTAGGCTGCAGCCAAGAAATCTGAAGCCGACTGGGACTTGGAAGGGCAGCAACGGAGGAATTAGAAAAGAGTATCAAGGGTAAGGATGGGTCACTGGAGACCAGGAAAAGATCGTCAAAGGTAAGGATGGGTCACTGGAGACTAAGACTAGAATCATCCACAGGCTCGTATTCCTGATCACTATGTATGGGTGTGAAAGATGGACGGTGAAGAAGACTGACAGGAGGAAAAGATGAATCATTTGACATATGGTGCCGGAGGAGAGCTTTGCAGATATTCTGGACTGCCAGAATATCCAAGTGGGTGCTGTCTCTGGAGTCACAAATGATGAAACTGAGGCTGTCCTACTTTAGGCACTTCACGAGAAGGCAGGGTTCTCTAGAAAAGAAAATAAGGCTGAGAAAATTTGAAGAAAGTGGGAAAAGAGGAAGACCAAATATGGGATGGATTGAGTCCATAAAGAAAGCCACAGGCTTGAGTTTACAAAAGCTGAACAAGATATTTTGGAGATCTCTCATTCATACGGTTGCCATGAGTCGAAGGCAGCTTGATGGCAAATCACAACAACAAGGATAACTATCTGAATGATTTGCTCCTTGTCATTGGCATGAATCCACATGCAGTCATCATTGGGCCCATTGAAACTAAAGGTGTGTAAATTGTTTTTAGTGGAAATTAAGTTCCCTTTATTTCAATGGGTCTACTCAAAACGTGACTAAGCCTGGAACCAATCTGGTGCATTTTCTTCATTGGGGGGTGGGTACTGCATTGCCCTGCAGCTGTTGTTGGGCCACAGTTCCCATGAGTCCTTGCCGATGGAGTTAATGCTGAGCAAGACAGGAAGTAATATCCAGCAACGTCTGGAAAGCTATCAGTTGCCTCTGCCCTGACTGGTTCATGAGACAATGAAGGAGGCATGCCCTACCAGGTAGAAAGAAGACACCTGTATCCCAGAGGTAGGTTTACAATCCTACATCAGTACTCTTCTTGCCACTTCCATACATGAACTAAAACAAAAAACCAACTTCCAGAGTTGTGTGGCTCCAAAGTCTACCCGATCCCTTGGAAGCCTGCATCCACTCCTGTGCCATGCTCACCCATACAATGAACTAAAAAAAAAAAAAAAACTTTCAGAGTTGTGTGGCTCCAAAGTCTACCCGATCCTTGGAAGCCTGCATCCACTCCTGTGCCATGCTCACCCCACCCAAAGTATATTTCTTTTAAGAAAAGCAGTTTTTTATTGGAAAAAGCTCTCCCACACCCTCTCGTGGCCAAATTTAAAATTGTTTACAATTCGGGGTCGCAAAATGTAGCCAAATTGCATCCAGACCCAACATACTTGAGGGCAGGAGGGGACTTTCGGAGCTTTTTAAAATAGAAGTTACATTTTTTTGGAGGTGGGTTGGTCCGGGACCCACATCTGACCCCCTGAAGGCTGTGTGATGCCTGTGAACTGCGCTATACTGGAGTATAGAAAAAGATGGACATTTCTCAAGCAATGCTAGCAATTGTCTTTTTTTAAAATTTCTTTGTGGGTCTACCTGGCACACACATCTGACATTTTATGCACAGCCTTTTCTTAAACTGTTCTTGCCAGCGTAGTGTTGGCAGAAGCTTAAACATTACTTCATTTCATTTTATTTCTAGTCTTACCTTTCCTCCAGTAAACTCAAAGTGATATAAAGATCTCTTTTCTCCTCTACTTTCCCCTCACAACAGCCCTCTGAGGTAGGAGAGGTTGGATGAAAGAGTCACCTACTAAGTTTCATGGCTCGGTGAGACTGTCAGGACCTAGTACAGTACAACAATCTCTAGGCTATCACGCTGGTGTTCTATTTCTTCTCCTTCCCCTGTGTTGCATCTTTACTTGTATAACGAACTTTAAGATCAGGCTGAGGGAGCAAAGGACTCACATTTTTCTGTGAAGGATTCAGTCCAACCTTCGCTCCAGGAGTGGCTACTCCCAAGAAGGCAAACTGGAGCTGCAGTCCTGCACCAGTTGGGAGCTCAAATTCATTGTCCATGAAGATGTAGTGAGCAAACAGGTCATTCGCGAATCCCTTTGAGATGAGCTGGGCAACCTGTAGGCAAGTCAGAAATTTAATATATAGGTATTTATTTCCAAGGAAGCAAGAGTGGCATTTTGGAGCTTTTCAGCACCCCAGGATATTCATGCAAATAGGCAAATTGTTCAGAATTGCTACTTAATGCTGTCTTTATTATTGATTGATTGCTTGATTTGTTGTGTTTAAAATATTTATATGCTGCCTTTCTCTTCAAACAAATAAAAGGTTTATTGATTATAAGAAATAAAAGGAGTAAATCACGGGTGTAAAACCAATTAGTCAATCACTGTTTCTCAGACACTAGCTCACACAGACTTTCCCCTCACTGACAGGCTCTTTCTCACTCACTATCAATCTCTCTAATCACTCATCTCTCAAAACTCCATCTCAAAAACTCCTCACACACACCTTATATAACCCAGCTCCTCCCACTACTGCACCACCCTCTGTTCTCTCATTGGCTGAGGTTCCCCTGCCCAGCAGTGACGGACAGGTGAGAGCAGAGCTGAATGCCACAGTATTTATTTCCAAGGAAGCAAGAGTGGCATTTTGGAGCTTTTCAGCACCCCAGGATATTCATGCAAATAGGCAAATTGTTCAGAATTGCTACTTAATGCTGTCTTTATTATTGATTGATTGCTTGATTTGTTGCGTTTAAAATATTTATATGCTGCCTTTCTCCTAAAGGATCCACTGACAAACATCAGTCTCATTGAGGTTAAAAAGAGGAAAATAAAAGTTGTTGGCTATCCATTTATTTATTTTTTAAATTAAAGAGTAACACTGTTATGTTTAACATGATATTCAAGATCCACCTTGCTAGTGATTTTTTAAAAAAACACACATCAAAGGCAAGTGCATATTTATTTATTAGTTGCAGTTCAACTATGCTGTCTTTCTCCCCATTTTTGTGAAAAAGGTGAGGCTGAGACTGCAAGATAGATAGATAGATAGATAGATAGATAGATAGATAGATAGATAGATAGATAGATAGATAGATAGAGAGAGAGAGAGAGAGAGAGAGAGAGAGAGAGAGAGAGAGTGAGAGAGAGAGTGAGAGTGAGTGAGTGAGTGAGTGAACTGAGGGAACAAATGCGTGGCTGAATGAGAATTTCATGGCTCATTGAGCCTTGGGCTCCCAAGCCCAAATCTGGGCTTTTCACCATCACACTACACAGATAGTGAAAGGTCTGCAATTGTGATGCAGAGGGAGTGTGCCCAGGATGGTTCACTATAATGTGAAACACATTACAGTACAGCTTTTGTAGGTCCCGTTTAAGTTCCATCTAAAACATTGTACCAAACTACCCTCATACTTCCTACTAAATCTGTTCAAGGCTGCCACCTGATGTTTGGAACCAAGAAGCTTATGTTTAAGAAGTACCCATCTCCAGTTCCAAGGTGCCTCTAATAAATAATGGTGGCTAGAATTACAATTTGTAAGAGCACTTTCTTTATTTTCTTCTTATTCAAAAGTAACCATTTACCGTTTCAGTTACTTTTGAAAGCACATCAACCAGCTACAAGTGTCTGGCCTGTGGGTGCACTCCCTAGCTAGTGAGGCCACCCAACTCCTGTAACTATAGGAATGACTAAAGCCTACTGCAGTAATGCCACAAAAGGGTGTGTGTGAAACTGCCCCGCTGCTTATCAACATGTTGAGAACCTACCTTCTCAGGGACAGTCTGAAGAGTTTTAAGGCTTCTGAGAATCAGATTTCCTAGAAGCTTCACATCGTTAAGTTTCAAGTAGCCAAGCTCTTCTTCGAAGATCTGAAGGTAGGCTCTGGCTTCAGGTGATTCTTTGGTGGTGAGTTCTTTGACCACTTTTTCAAAATTGAGCATGATTCCTTTCATTACATCCTAAAATATATATATATAAGGAAAAGGCCTGAACACCAGTAAAAGGTCACAGTTTCCATAGATAGGACCGTTCCATTCTGAGACCCCAATTCCCAGAAGTACTATCATGGTTTCTGAATTCACAGAAAAAGGCTAGCAAGTTCATGCATACAGATGGGATCTTGGCTCAGAATAATCCTCAATATGGTAAAATAATATGCCCAGAGTGATCTGGGATCACATTTTCTTAACCTGTAATTTTTTCATATTATGCCCAGCAACCCAAGCTAGGCATACACAGGTGATCTGCTTCTGACATTTCCCTTTCTGAGCCTAGACCGAAATGGCGGATCATCAACCTCACAGCAAAGATGCTCTTCGCTTTTGGAAATGGCTGCTCAGGTGGTGTGGGCATTTGCACTAAGGAAATCCTGTCTCTTAGAAACCTTAGCCTACAGGTGCTTATCCTCCTGCATGACTCCTTCTGTCTGTCCCTGTAAACACCCAGCCTCTCTGCAGGTTCCACAGCCCTCCACCAAAGTTATCAGCAGATTTTAAAAAAACACTATGACCTTTAATGACTATGACAATGGTTCGATCCTAGAGGATTAAGCAAGTAAAGTTTTCAACAAACTCAAGGCAAAGAGGGTTGTCTAAAATCTGCAGTGACACTATTTTTAAAGAGCTTCGGAGCAAGGCCAATCCAAAAGTTGGCAGCTTTCGCCAGTACTAACATGTCAGGTAAGTGGATAATGTTGATATCATCAGTACTCCAATTCATATCTTTCCTCATATTCTATTCCAAGATAGCTAGCTGAAGAATTGGTTTAAGTCTCTGGCTGTTGCGGGTTTGATTCTCCACTGTGCCTCCCTGACATGGGCAGGACTTGAAGATCCATAGCATCCCTTCTAGCAATGCATTTCTAAGATTATGATTCTATGTTTATAATATGTTGTTCAGTTTGTAGAGCTTTGTAGTAAACATGTCCATAGGGGCTCTAATGTCAACACCAGCAGTGCAATATCATCTGGTAAACCAGGGTATACCTGATCCTTCGAGCCATCCTTGGGGTATCCAAAATAATCAAAGAGGGCTTGGGAAATGTCGTCTGGTACTCGGCCATCAACCCAGTACAACGCTTTGGTGGCACTGTCAGGGAAAAATCCTTTCGGTCCAAACAAGGCTTCTATTGTTGGCTCGAAGTTCTTTCCATCCCAGCCAATCTGATGGGGGAGGGGGAGGGGAAGAAGAGGTGAGCAAAATCACTTTTCACATGAGCATCCCTGGAGGACAGAAAAAGGATCATTATACACATGGGCTACAAATGTCTAGCTATCTGGCATCTTTCATAAAGGCTTGAACCAGTAAGGAAGGAACTAGTGGGTCTCATCCGGGGCTATTTTTAACCTGAATTCTAAGGATATCTGTCTCTGTATCAACAAAGCAAACAATAAGGTCGTCCATACAACTGGGAAGCCTTGGAAAAAGAAAAACAAAGTACGTATGTCTAACGTATATCCTGAAGCTTGGCTATCATTCATTTGTAACTGCAGCACATTGCAGAATGGCTACTCCTTTGCCTGGTGATCTCAAGCAGAGGTGTTTGGGGGGGGGGAGAGAAGATTTGTTTGAAGTAAATCAAACTCTGCAGTTTTTCTTCTGCAGATTCTTCTTTGCAGAGCCCAGATTTTCCGTATTTAAATGGCGAGAGTTTGAACTTGTTCACTCTTTGCAGGTATTTTTTTCAAATGAAAAGAGGCAATGTAGGTAGAAGTATTTTAAATCACTACTGATTGGCAGTGCACTTCTGTCCTCTGCTTGGGAATAAATCCCGCTGAATGCCAGGGGGCTTCCATGCATAAATGCACTAATGCTGCCGCCCTCCTTCAGATCTATTGGGAGATTTCAGATGTAAAAGCAATTGTCAGAACTTGGAAATGTTAATTTCTTTGACTACAACTGGCTGAAGGTGCAGCCTTTCTGAGCTGGGGATTCTGGGACCTGTAGTGGAAAAAAAACAAAGCACATTTCCAAGCTCTCTTAACTGCTCTCTGCTCTTATCATTGGTCACCACATTGAGGGGTCTTGCCTTCCAAGTTGAAGATGTTAGCAAGACAAGAATGGGTGCTGATCTATCAATGCTGTTTCTACCCCTCCTTGATGGCTGAGATCTCTCCCTGTATCAGGTTTGACGAGTGATATGTTATGAGCGTGCACTTGTCTCATAATTTTACTATCCTGTCTTTATTTTCTATGTTTTAATCCTTTCAGTGTTGCTCCAGGAAGGCATCACATAACCAGCATAGGGGTTGATTTTGAAGTCAGTTTAAGGAAACAGAAAAAAAGAGGGGAAATTAACAATATGAAATAAGTAGGAAGCTTCCAAAAGCTTTTGTACCTCGAACAGATCCAGAGGTCGGTGCCCAAGTGTCTGAAGCATCATTTTTAGCATGGATTCCTTTGGTAAATAGCTGCTTGAATCAAAGAGCAGATTCCCTTCCCAGCTTGCTGTAAATGGGTCAGGAAATCCAGGCACTAACATGGTCTTGTCTGTCTGGTAGTTTCGTGAAAACTTTTGGAAGTCTTTGGGTGCTGGAACTTGGGCTCCTTTAAGAGCTTCTTGAATTTTGCTTCTAAGTCTGGTGAAACAGAAACAGAGGGTCAACGTGTTTAAGAAAGAGTCCTGGACAATATTTAAGCTAGGTGTATCTTCTTATGGGTTTTTGGTATATAAACTGTGTTTAATATGATGCTCTTACCAACCTTGTGGGGACATGTTTATTTAGCAGCTTAGTGGTGCATTGGCTTCACTCAGCAAAAGCTGAAAGGACTAACTAGAAGCCTTGAGATTTCCTGCACATTCTTAGTGGCATATTTTATTATATTTATTTATTTATTTGCGGCACCTATATAACACTGTCCTCTGCCCCAGCATGCCTAAAACAACATCGGTTTCTAAAACTCAATATTCTAAAACCTCAGATTACGGCATTAACATACTTTTTCCGGATGGAAAGAGAAAGGAAAACAGATTAAAGGACACAAATAATAAACAGTGGGTCAAACCACTAAAATCACATACTCATCAAAATAAAAGTTAAAAAAAAAGTTCAGGCACCAAAATCACCACCAGGAAGGCATCAGGCAAACCTCTCAGGGAAGGCATTCTAAAACCAGGATGTTACCACTGAGAGATCCTCACCAAGTTATCCATCTTTTTCACTTCACTTCGTAGAGACACCTAGAGTACGGTCTCCAGTGAGGGTGTCAAGGGGTTGGGAACTTCATACAAAAAGAAACCTATTTAAGAATCAAACTACACTGTGGATAAATTTTCAGTGAGAATCTACAATGGCTAGCTGCCTGTTCAAAAGCCAGTGTACCCGTCTGTATTGCTGTATGTTTATCCCTTTGATTCCAGTCTGATTCCTTCACTTCTAATTTAACAACCTCAGAAATCAATGCGACAGGGTAGAGGATTGTGGGACATGTTCTCATTGGTGTAGAAAGGGCACTTGCCAGGTCAGCTTTTGATGTGCACATGACCTCTATCCTTTTGATTATGTCATGGTGGGGAAGGTTTGACGCTCCCTAACCCATGGCAAGAACAGGCTGTTTGCTGTACCAGAAGCTGCCTGTTTCTGACTGAAGACACCATGGAAACTATGGATTTTTGCTTTAAAAATTGTTTCAGATATCCACTAATAACTACATGACATGGAGGTAGCATGGCTGGCTACCTCTGCTGAAACATCCTCTTCTGCTCAACTGTTAAAGGGGCAGGAGCCATGATCTGCCACTTCATGTGGCCAGTCTATGCACTAATGAAGCAATCTGGATTTCAAGAGGAGGTAAAAATATGAAGCTCTCCCAGCAGACTGGGGCAGCTGTACTTACTCTTCATTGTAAGGATCTTTCGTGTCTAAGACGTTGGCAATGTGGGAGGCCACAAAGCTTTTCACTTGGTCATTCTTGTCCTTCAGAAGAGATTTAACCACTTTGGAGATATCAGATGGGGAAGGGTGTCTCATCAGCATTAGATAAGCAGCCAGGCGCTTCTCGACTGGAGAGGAGGCATCTTGGAAAACCCTAACAAGAACTCCTTGGTCCTGTAGCAGCAGGAAGAAGAGGATGTTGAAGTAGAAAGATGACAGCAACACATCACTTGATAGCAAGTGGAGGAAACATCTGAGGTAGAATTCTTCCATTTCTGCATATGAACTCCTCCTTAACAACTAGGGATACTCTTTCCATTTCAGTCCCCACTGCAAATAATGTTGTAGGGGGCCAACATTCAGCATCAATATGACTCATTCCCTAGCTGTACCATAAATCAGAGTTGGTTTTGTTACTTCACCTAGTTCTCATTTGGACACAAAATGGGATTCATTTGATTACTCGTCTATACAGGAGTACATGTGGGGGGTGGGGAAGAAGCACATAATCATGGAGTCACAACTGGTTCTATTTTACCTCATCAGTAATTTCCATTTTTCTCAGTGCCTGAATAGCTGCTTTCTGGACTGCAGGTGATGCAACATTACTTCTTATGCATATTTTTAAATAATGTTTCACATTAGCACTGGTTTCTTCCATTGCTTTGCCCATATTTCCAATAGCCTGTGGATCACATACGAAAGAGGAGAGTCAGTTTACCCAATGAACATAGGACTGGGAGCAAATAAAGGGCATTAAATAATAATAATAAATACCCTAAGAGTCAGGTAAGTGAGTTCCTCATCACCAGAGCATTCGTTGCCAATCAGTGATGTCATGTAATGTGCCACATCATTAATTTCTTTTGCCACAGGTCTAACAGCATAGAATCTGAAAAACAGGAAGATTATATCAAAGGCCTTCAAACGCTGTAAGGATCAAGCAGAATGAAGAGTAAACAACCAGCAGCTTTGCCAGCTGCTTTCAGCTGGCAAGGCCATTTCACTGTCTCATTGCCTTGTGACTTTATTATTATTATTTAATGTGCCACATCATTAATTTCTTTTGCCACAGGTCTAACAGCATAGAATCTGAAAAACAGGAAGATTATATCAAAGGCCTTCAAACGCTGTAAGGATCAAGCAGAATGAAGAGTAAACAACCAGCAGCTTTGCCAGCTGCTTTCAGCTGGCAAGGCCATTTCACTGTCTCATTGCCTTGTGACTTTATTATTATTATTATTANGTGAAGGAGAAGGATCCCCAAAAACTGTATGGAGTAAAAATGTTTCTACTTTCATGTCTACATCTTGCTTGTGGTGTGGGGAAAAATACAGTTGGGCTCCACTGTCTATGCTCCAGGACTAGGTCACTGTTTGGTACTCCAGAGCCGTGATTTCATTACACGAAACACGCAGCAATAAAGGGATCACACAGGCCATCTCCGACTCCTGTGTGTTTACTGCACATCCTAACAAATTGAAATTCTCCCTACCCAAAGTGGGGGAGGGGGAGTCATCACCTACCTTGCACACCACAGAACTCCCCTTATCTAAGCACCTTTCTATTATCAGTCAGAAAAATGTGTGTTGAGATCAAGGTTTGCCTTAGTCATGAGTGCTTCGTATTCGCATCCATGCGAATGCGAAGTATTGCACCACAGGTACCACAGTCCATTCTCGCCCACTGAGAACCAGCCCGGTCCACTCACTGGGCTCAATGTAGTGCGCACAAATTTATCAGCATTGTCATTGAGCCAGTCATGGAAGCAGACATGGCTGGTGCTTCCCCACCTTTCTTCACAGCCAAACACTCCAGTGAGGAGGCGGGAAAATGACTCTCCCCACTCTGATGCTGAGTGGTCGGCTGTGGGGAGAGGTGGGGAAGTGCAGATTGGTGTGACAACAGTGCTGATGGACATGTGCACCAAGTGGAGCCTATTGAGTGGACCAGAATGGTTCTGGGGAGCGGGAATGGACCACTGTATGGGAAAATGAGTGTCCCCACTCAGTTGCTGAGGGGTCGCCTGTGGGGAGAGGCGGGGAAGTGCTGATGGACATGTGCGCCAAGTGGAGCCTATTGAGTGGACCAGAACGGTTCTGGGGAGCGGGAATGGACCACTGTAGCACATGCAGTGCTGCGCTTCATAGTTGTATCTCCTGGATATGAATACGAAGAGCCCATGTCTAGTTTGCCTCCTTCTGGGCATTTTGGATAAAGTACATTCTGCAAGGTTGTTACTAACAATGCTGTCATTCAAATAAAGATACCAAATCTGTCTTAATTAATAAATTTAATCAGCACAAAATGCTAATTCTCTGGAGAGAAAACAGTTGAAAGACTTGTCTGTTACACCTAGTACCGAATGACGCTTTGGTAACATCTGGAAGAGACAGGGAGGGATCTCCTGCACCAAAAACAATTTCATTGAGTCATAGTTTTGAGAGACATAGTTTTCTTATCTATGCAGGTTAAAAATGTATCTTGCCCAGGACACAGTTCTTTTTTCAACCCAAAAAGCAGTAGTTTGTTCACCATACCTACCACCGAGTGACACTTTGGAGGGGTAGGATTTTGGCAGGGTTTGTCATATTGGTGGGGAATGCCCCCAGTGTTAGTAAAAACAAAATATATTTAATGACAGAAGACACTCATTTTTCCACAGGATTAAACCATTCTGTGCAGGACAGTGCTCTGTTCCACATAAAATACTGAGCATGAAATATGCTGTTGTGCCAGAAACCCTGTACATCTATTCAGTTCCTGTCCGGGAATGCACAATTTATTTTCACGGAACCTTATGAGATTTCCAGCTGCACAGAAATTCACAAAGAAAGTGCTCTCTTTGAGAAGGAAAAAAAAAGAATGCCATTTCTGAGTCGACATACATAGGATCCCACTGAAATTTCCTTCAAAGGACACATACCTGTTGACTGCATGGCTCAAGGCATAAAATGTAGCTCGGCTTTGGCGATACTGGGCCATGTTAAGGAGTTCATGTATTGTCCAGGCACGAGGAGACAGCAGCAGTCCTAAACTGTAAGTGATGGTATCTACCAGAAGTGGATCCACGTTGCCAGTTCTCAGTATTTGCAGGAGAGCTCCAAAACATTCTGGAGTGCCACATTGCGTCAGAGCCTGTACAGTGATGGAGCTAAAGCAAAAACCGACATGAAGACATACTTACGATTGCACTTGCATTATTTTGTCAATGCACAACACAGTCTGCAAACATTGGTGCACTTAATTCATTACTGATATTATTTGACAGGTTTGAGATAAACCTGGAGAAATTGTTAAACCAGTTTTGTATAAAGCAGTCAAAGACTATAAGTAATTGTAAGGATTGATGCTAAGAAAATAAGTAAAGTAAGAATTTATGCAGCTGGGTTAATGCAAGAATTGTAACAGCTGAAAGATAAAACCTAAGATTGGCTAGCCCTAGGATAAAGCAAGCAGATTCAACACATACACTCTGTGGTGCTGTGGTCGTGGAAGGTGCTGTGTCGTTGTGGAGAATACTGGAGAAGGACTCTGGCTGCTGGGCTGAATTATATGGTATATGACTGCTGAATTGATTTACAAGGACTTTGACCTGATTTATGCCTGAACTCTGTTGGAACTGCTGTGTATGACTATGGGACTGGAAATAAGGACAAAGTTGTATGGGTATGTATATATTCTACAAACAAATTAATACAACTTTTCTGCTATCAAGCCTGTCTTATTGCCTGGTGTCTTCATTTCTCTGGGAAATTCTACTGGTTGGTGCCACCTAGTGCCTCCTGACAATCCTGCAACTCTGTCATTATTACTGTTGGTGGTAGTGTTGTTGCTACTGTCACTCTACTCCTGTTCTTTGAATGTGAATTCTTTTATTAAACTGGCTGTTTGTATCACAGCACAGAAGACAGAAAATATCATTTTAAGATGATAAAACTATTGATGGTTGAACAGCATATTCAACAGTTCCTCAGATAACAAGGAAAAACAATTACTTGGCATCTATGAGATGCCACAATATTTAGGAATTCTGCAACTTATTTTTTGATTATAAAAATTTGTTTCATTAAAAAAAGGGGGGGGGAGGTGGAGACAGGAAAATCTTATTGGATCTGCCTAGGCCAATTGTGCAACAGAGTAAACTATATATTCCTTAATATATTGATTAATAACTACAATGAACAAACTCGGTGAAAAACAGATTGAACTCTGAAGATGTACAAAGGCAACATCTAACCTCATATAGAGCCTTTGAAAATTGTCCATTAAGATTTCTGAAGGTGGACAATTAATCCAAAACTTGTATATCTTTCAAAAGACATCATTTCTTAATTAAATGTGCTTTTAAATTAAAAGAACAGTAGCAATGACTGCTTTGGTAAGCTTCCGTAAGTATAGCATTCCGGCTGCCACGCCACCACTGAGAAGCTGGCATGCCAGGTTTCCCTTGATTCAGCCCAGCACCCAGGGGGTTTCTCCCAATCAACAACCCCGTGAAGCAGACAAGGCTGGGAGATGATGCCAATTTCTACTTGGTTACTTGCTACAAGGCTACTTGGTGAGCTTCATGATCAAGCAGGGATTCTCATTCCCAATCTCTACATCACTTTAGCTCTCTAAGTCTCCATTTTCTAATTTCTTAACAAAATGGGACTCAAAGAAGACCTCCTTGGGAAACTTCAAGAATCCATAAATTCAGGTTCCTTACATTCTGTAGACACTTGAAACCTTTGAACCCTTTAAAGGATCTATGCACATTATAGATACTTTGCAAAGCTATACTTTGAAACCATTCCCAAAGAGGGAATATAGCCTGGATATAGCCAATCTCTAGAAATACAGTTTTCTTTCAGATGATTGGCCCATACCATCAAATCAAAGTGTGCTAAGCATATTATTTAATTTCACTCTGAGCAGATTTTTCTGATGGAAAGTAATCATTTTTTTTTTGAAATGGTACAAATATATCTTTATTGCCTATGCCTTCCTGACCCAATGCATGTGACATTATCCTTTGTGTTGCAACACCACAGCAGCTGGTTTCCTGTGTGTGCTACAGGGAGCAGGACAGAACATGCCCTGTGCCGTCTATTTGCTTTCAGTATGGTTTCTACCCTGTTTACTCATCCTTCTTGTTGATAAAGTACCTGGAAGTTTCCATCATCTTTGGCACAAGTGGGCCCAGGGTGCTGTTGTGTAAGCCTCTCAATCCAGCTACAAATTTGTAGAAAAGACTGGTCCTTTTATGGTTCTCCTGGGTGACTGAGAGTTTCTGTAGATCCTGGAGGACTTTCAGAACCGCATCACCATTCCTGGAGGATTTGGTCTCAACACCCTCCAAAGCCAGTCCTCGCTTCACCAGGCCATTGACTGTAAAGACAATGCAATTCTTTAGAATGATGCCCCTGTACCTTTTGGAAGGCTCACCTCTTTCCATATATCCTCTGAAACCCACCCTGTATGGAAGGTAACTGAATAACCAATGTCATCATTGGGTTATATCCGGTTGTGACTCTAGGCTTTGCTCTAAAGGTTCTGCCACATTTCGGATGTGGCTCAAGGACTAAAACAGCTGCGGATCCAGTAGGTCCTTCCCATTTCTGCCCACCGTATTCCCAACATTCCTCTTTTCCTTGCTGTACAAGGATATCATTCCGACCGTGTACAGTAAAGGGAAAACCCTTCTGTGTGCTTGGCACTGTCCAGGCAGGGATATAACTCTTCACTTTTGTTTTCACAAGCAAAAAAGAAAAAAATAATCAAAGGTTTTCTCAAGGGTAGGTGAGTTAACGGCAGGAGTTTTTGTGCATTTACCCCAGCAAATATAAAAAAACCCATGTGTTTTGTACAAAAAAAGTAACCCTTGTATTCTACACGAATCATTACATTCCTTTATACAAACTTCAAGATTTGTATGCAATTTTTATTCAGTTACTTTCTAATTTTGATGGGGAAAAAACATTGGTCATGTAGCTGTTGATTTTTGGAGTGCAAGGGCAGAACATTTTATCTGTCTTCGGACAGAACATCCTATCTACAACCTAAGTGTGGATCCATCTTTGTCAGACTGGCAAGAAAATCTGTGACTATTGATTATATCCATAGGTCTAAGAAAGTGACTCTGAGCTGTTCCTAAGAGCTCCGAGAATGATTCAGAATCGGCCAACAGTCCCAGAGACACATTTCTCAGACTGCATGATTGCAGTCTGAACTGTTGTCTGCATCCATATATGTTGTTAACACATCCTTCATTCCTGCTTAGAAACAGGTAAAATGCAGCAAACTCTACCCTCTGCAACAGCATCTGTCCTTCTTCCCCTTCCAAAAATGGTGTCCATGCTAAGTCCAGGCAGCCAGTTAGAGAAAATATCTGTTCTTCTCTTTGTACACATGAATGGAATAAGCTTTCTCATGGCCATGTGTTCACCTGGTGGTGCAGACTGTTGACACTGATTGACAACAATGTGTCTCCAGGGGTTCAGGCGAGGGTCTATCCTTCCCCTACTTGGAGGTGCCATTGATTGAACATGAGACCTCTTGCTTGCAAAGCATGCACTCTGTCACATCCCAATACAAATAAGATCACATAATGTTCTTATGATAGCCAGCACAGTGTAGTGCATTGAGTGACAGACTAGGACTAAGGAGACCTGGATTCAAATCTTGGTTTGGCCATGGAAACTCACTGGGGTGTGTATAGAAGAGGCAAAAGCACTCCTTAAATATCTCCCTTACCTTGAAAGTCCTATAAGTCAGTCCGAACTTGACCAAACACTACACACACATATAATAAATATTGGCTGAATTCCTGTTTCTTGGCGTAAGTTGCAAGTAGAGTAGACCCAGTTGAATGAATGGAACTGATAGGGGAGTTGGCTCACTAAAACTCCATTGAATCAATGGGCCTACTCGAGTAGAATTTACACCACCAAGCAACAGGATTTCAACCAATGTATAACACAATCTTGGGTTGTGTAATATATCTAGTTTCGTTTTATTGCACATCCGACCCATAGGAAGTAATAAAGCCTTACCATCCATGTCCCTGTTGTTGGTTTTCTGGGTTTCTTCAATTTTCAGAGTTTGTTTGACTGTGGCCATCATGCCATACGTATTCCTAGTTAGCAAGAGAAAAACCCAACAACATTGTTCTTATCCTTGTCCAAATCTGCAGGGTTAAACCAGTCATGGCCTTAATGCAGAAAGAGCAGAGGTACTGTAAAACCCAACTTACTTGTATGAGAAAGGCAGGAACAAGTGCTTCTCAATGCAGACTGCCTCAGATACTTGCTTTTTCTTTGTGTCAATGGAATACTGACAATCCTGGTTGCTGCTAATCAGGGTGGATAAGGGTGTGTTCTGTAAAGATCATTGTGCATGTGTTAATTTACTATTAGCTCTAGCAAAACAAGGCAGTCTATGTCCCTAGCCCTTGAAATAAGCTAAGAATGAAGAAACCTGTCAGTTTCACATATTAAAACAAACAAAGTTCAGCTTTCCCCTCCATTCAAAATATGAGATTTTTAAAATCACATTTTCCAAATGTGAATTGAAATAATAATTCTCCCCATTTATATTGGCCAGGCTCAATAAGTAAAGCTTTTTTCAGCATGGGGAGCCCCATTTTGTATATACTTGTCATACAATTATCAAGGAGGACAACCCTCTTTCAGAAGTGGGGGGAAAGAATGGCAACCCAAAGTGAACCTCACAAACATAATTGGCTACTCGTCTTTTAAGCATGAAACATTTAAACCCCTTAGCTTTTCCATTCCAGTCAAAAACCTTGGTTATTTTTAATCTGAAATCTTATCCAATGCAAAAAATGTTGAAGAAGGGAGTCCCTTTAAAAATTAAAGTCCCTTTTAATTTTTATTGGACAGGGGAACAATTATCCTTGCCCACTCCTAAAATAGACACCCCAAAGGTGTTATTGTTTGGGGATGGCAGAAAAGGAGTGAAGCTCTTGATCTTTTTTCTAGAAGTCTGCCTCCTTTTCTATTGGGCACAATGATGGCAATCTGCTGGGTTTTTATGCCAGGTTCCAGAGATGGGCAAAGTATGCCCTTCCTGAAACCCACTTGCATGCACGGAATTCTATGCGCTCACTTCCATGCAGTTCCTGCTTGCCAGGCGAGTGCTTTAATAGGAGACCACTTTGGCCATTGGTTAAGCTGCCCGGCTGTGCGAACCTGCGAAGTGGTAAGACTAACTTTACTACACTTCTATTCTGTGTCAGGTGAGGACAACAGTGGCCTTCCAGGCATTTCTTGGCCTATCGCTTCCATCAGTCCTGTCCAGCATAGTTCAGAGTGAGTGACGATGGGAATTGCCGTTCGAAAATATCTAGCGAGGTGCCACTGCCTTCTTCCTGCCCTGCATTTCTGATCAAGTGAAATGTACTTAAATTGGTTGCCATGAAACTACAGCTTACTAGTTTACCACGTAGTTATATGCACATTATAATATGCTGACTCTCTGTTGGTGGCACTTTATACTTAGCAGGTACCTCACATATAGGAGTAATCACAATATGGCAATTCACCTTGGCTCATAGTTCATGGAAGTCTACGGACCACAAACCACAAGTTTTTCTGAACAAACCATGAATCAGGTTGTTGGTTCATTCTTGGGTTTTTTTTAACTTGTTTAAGGTTTGTTTGGTTTTTTTTTAACACTTGCATATTGCATTGTTTATCTTCATTAGTTTTAACTAAGTTATGGTTGAGGTTGTTGGTTCATTCTTGGTTTTTTTTTTCTTGTTTAAGGTTTGTTTGGTTTTTTTTAACACTTGCATATTGCATTGTGAATCTTCATTAGTTTTAACTAAGTTATGGTTTTACTACTCTAGAAAAAGATTTGTCAGGGCACGTTGACAAAAAAGCAAGCGGTTCAGGTTTTCTTGTGGTGATGATGGAATGTGTGTAGCCTGAGAAACAACCTGAAGTCTTCGGTCTAAGTGCCAGGGTCACGTTCCCAACTACTTACCAGTCCTTTGATGAGGGCAATGGGACTGACATGATCCCTGATAGGGTTAAAGTTATCACAGGACTTCAGGTTCCGTTTGATTGCGATGCCTGCTGCGACCGCAGTGTTGCTTCTCCTGGTTTTTACTTCAACTTCACTCTCACATTTTCCATACACCGTATCCTAGAACGAGGAAAACATTAATCATTGGGTTTTGCATTTAAAAATCAATTGGCATCTAGCTAAAAAAGGGATTCCCTAACTGATTGAAGGCTTGCTTTCCCATGAAGGCACTTCAGCTTTATGAACCAGAAAAGGTCCACAGAACACCAAGGGAAATAAGATCTTTGATAGCTACACCACCTACCATAGTGAGTGTCTGGACATCGACTTCTGTCTCCATCGGCACAAAAAGAGCAGAGATGATGCCTCTCTTGATGTTTAGGATGTGGGTCGGTTCACCGTCTTCAGGATACAGCTCGACATTCTTACCATCCTGGATGCTGAACTTCAGCTCATACCTGGCCAAAATGAGCAAAAAATCAAATTAACATAAGGAAGATAGACTTCAAAGATCTGAAATATATCTGCCTGCCACCATTCTTTCAACCCAACTTTGATTTTTTTAAAAAATTATATAATTATAAAAATTAAAAGAAATGTTAGCTTGTGCCCAAGCTTGTTATTTTTCTTTCCCAGTCACATCAGAGGGTTTCTCCATTACTGTGCTAAATGCCATGAATTTCTCACTCGCTGTATGAATGAGGAGAAACCTTCTTCAACAATATAGTTATAGACAAAAAAAATAAGTGCTTAAGGATCTCTTTATAGCTTTTCCTAAGACAGTAAAAGTTTTAAAGGTTGAACATTCAGAGTTACAGATATTTCCATTACATAATATGGTACATTGCAAACTGGATTTCTTTCTTGTTAGATTGAAACATTTCACTACTCATCCAAGTAGCTTCTTCGGTCTGAGGAGAGTTGGTTGGAGACCCCTGATATATCCTCCATGTTGGTTTCGCTTCCCCTTGGTCTAAATAGGCTCATTAGATGGACAAAGGGCAGGGGGTGAGGGATAATCCCAATTCTGCAGTCCTTCTCCACCCATTGTCATGGGTCGTTATACAGTCGTTAACAGTGTCTTTCTGGTGTGTGTGGTCCTAATATTTCTAGGAACAGATGAATCCCTGATCTCTCTCAAACCACCTATCTTCTTAGGGAGGCCATAGATGTGCATACAGAAAATCCCTCACTCAACAGGGGTGGAGGCCTTAGATACAATCTGTCTGCTATTTATCATGCTGCCCTTTCATCATAACTTGAAAAGACCTGAAGGGGACCAAGTGAGGGAAGGCTTCACATACTCTGAGTCTGCCTCCATGCACCTCCCAGTGGGTCACTCACTTCATTACAGGGTCAAGGGAACAACCAGCCATTTTCAGAAATACTTTTCCAGACGTCACATACAGTTATCTACCACTTGCTCCTCTCCAGTTTCCCTTTCCAGCCATGCAGATAGCTTCCACTGAGGGCATGAATATAATGTGAGAAAAAGTGAGTGACTGGATGAGGGATGGCCAGCTGCACTGCAACTAAGGAATATGGAAATCCCCCAGTTTTGTTTTTAATTGCATTTTCCCAAACCCCATAACCTTCTTGTGTAGTACTGATTGGATTGCAAATTTCCCCCTATTTCTCAGGAAAATTCATAGTACATTTTTACCTCTTCCTCAGTGCCTTCATGTATTGATATGTATTAATCTGAGCATTCCCAACACATTTTCCTCCTTGATCAGAGTGTGTTTTTATACCATTTTCAAAGATGTGCACTTTTGGTCACACATGTTTTTCACATGAATACACTTACATCTACATGGTTTCTTTGCTGGATCTCATTGCAGACCTGAGCGAGGTATGGATTCTGTTCTTCACCATCGTATATTGCAATTCACTTAACGGAGTGATGGAAAAGTTGTTGGACTGCAACTACCATAACTGGTCAGCCAGCATGGCTGTCCCAGAGAGGAACTTTTCCCATCTCTGATCTAAGACTTTAACAACGTGCCCCAACCGGGAACTATGGATAAGCCCAATGGCTATTGCATGACTGGGGGTGAGGGGAGAGAAGGGGAAATCCTAAGGAGGAAACTAAGAGAGCCTTTGAATCTGTTCAAGATCTAATCTTTTTAAGATAAACAATTCATTCTCTAATTATGCCTTGGGACAGCATGGCTTTGCATCTTTTCAGAAGGAAGATCCCATGAGAAGTTGGGTTTTGCTTACGTTGACATGGCAGTGGTAAATTCATCTGTGTTCCTTGCTTTCTTTAACAAAACCCTGCCCTCAGGATCAGTACCAGACACCTCACGCATGCTACAATGGCTTGTCCTTAGAATAAAATTGCATAGCTGTGGGACTTCCAGTTCGACCTGCAATAAGAAAAAAAAGAGAGAGAGAGGTGGAGGTGGTTCTTAGTTAATGCCTTACTGGTGAAGTCAGACAAGAAACGAAACGAAATTTTAATTCTTAGAAGCGGATCTAGTAACTACGGTACAGTGATGAAGACGTAATATTCCCAATCACAATAAATGGGGAGGAGAATGAGACAATAGCCTTATTCTCCTTCTGGGAGGGGCAGAGCCAATACTTGCAAGGATATCCCCATTTTGGCATTCAAAAAAAGAGAGAATCATTTGAAAGTCTGAGAAAGAGGATGGTGATGTTTCAGTTTTATTTGAAAGAGGGATACTCCCCCTTCTCCCTTACCTTGCAGTTAATTTGGGAGCCACTCCGTGAATCTGCTGTTCCTGCTACCCCATTTGTGGTTTCTGCTTCATAGCTGTAAACATATTTCCTGAGGTGCTTAAATCTAGTAGCATCTTCTACAAGGCACAAGGAAGGCAAAACATTGGTATGGAATAATGTCCTCATAACCACTGGTGTGGATTTAAGTAATGGCAGTATCAGAAGGAAACTTGGCACAATATAATTCCAATACCGTATGAATCGTACTGCATTCTGCTTCTTCTGATACAATGGTTCCCAATCGTGTGTCCCTTGATGTTCTTGGACTAAAACTCCCAGAAGCCTTCATCACTGGCTGTGCTGGCCAGGATTTCTGGGAACTGTAGTCCAAGAACATATGGGGACCCAAGGTTGGGAACACTATTCTAATGTAATGACCATGCACCTTAGATGTAATAATTTTTGTGTTATATTTACATGTCATTTTATGTATGTATTTGGAAGCTGTAAGACCAGATAGGCGGGATATAAATAAAATAAATAAATAAATAGCTCTTACACCTAGCAAGGTAATAAAAGGAGTTCCCCACCACTACTTAGCCCAGACCTGGGCAAAGTGTGGCCCAAGGACCACATACGGCCCGTGAGCCGCTCCTGTCCAGCCCGCGGACAGTTTTGAACGTCAAAACCACTTCCAGCTTTTTATCTAAAGCTGATCAGTTGCTTATCTTTAACATACCGCAAAAAACTTCTTTAGTATTTGTGAAGATTAACAAGTTTAAAATGAAAACAATTATAACATCACTGTTTCGTTTTATTTTTAAGTAAAGTTGGTTTGGCCCCCAAACACAGTTCAGATTTTTCATGTGCCCCCCCCATAGAAATTAATTGCCCAGCCTCATCATCTCATAGCTCTGCCTGTTACTGATAACTACTCCACTAAATCTGATTAAACATAGTATTTAACCACCTGAAAATCAAGTTTTTTGTAAAGATACATACACAAAATAAGGAAGACAAGACTGGGAAATTTTGCAAATTGTGAGGTGTTTTGAGATGGGCTGAATTAAGTGAGTAAAGCATGACAGTCAGCAGATGGTGCTAAAGTTCTGTCTTTAGGAAAACAGAGCTTATCAGGGGACAGAGAGCAAAACACCAACTCACTGGATACTTTGACCCTCAAGATGAACATCTTGTATCCAGCCAAGCCATGAGAGGCAAACAAGCTACTTAACAGAGATTATTCAAAAACACATCCTGGTCTTTGTCTCTTGTTATTTTAATACATCATCCTAAAAGTACTTTATTTTCAAGCCAGTTTTATATCTATATTTCTGAAGGTTCATACTAATCTAAAGGACAGCCATTTCAGTCTGCTAAAGCTAAAACAGCAAAGGATCTTGGCACCTTAAAGTTCATTGTGTTAGAGAGGGCAGAAATAGACATTAGAGGCAGCCAGTAATTAGAGTTGAAAGCAGTCCATGCTGCAGTTGACTGAGGCACTTTTTCCAAGTTCTCAAATCAAACTTCTAAGGGAATCCTGTGCTGAAGCCTAGAAGACAAGTTAGTGAGCATAGCAAACTAATGAGTGTAATACTGGAGAGGAGAGAACCTCATACTCTGAGGTGTACTAGCTAAGAATTTTCTTAGTTAAGAATTTCCCTCTTCCCGGCAATTGCTACCATCTGTCTCTGAATAGAGAAAAGAGCAGGGGTGATAGTCTGAAATTTGGCAACATTGGCATTCACGTGTGAATGTTTGAAAATGGAAAAACCTTTCCTGACTTTTGGTACACACAGAAGCGAGTGCAGACAATTAAATGAACGTTATCATAAACGTTGTCTTCCTAGCCAAAAGCTTTTAACACGTGAAATGTCAACAGTACATTATATTTCAGGCATTGGAGTGGATCAAAATTTAGCCATGCACATAAGCAGACTGATTTAAGTTAAACATGGTCATAAACATGTCTTTTCTAAGCATCTGGATAAAACCTACTGAACGTAACATATAGATGTATGTTACGAGTAGACTTTGTCTAGAGGGGCGGGATATAAATCTAAATAAAGTAAAGTATGTATGTGTAGGTACAATTGGATAATGGCAAGGTAACATGAGGAGAGAAGGTAAACTGCTTTGTCAGGTGCATCTCCTCAACATTTGTGTGTTCGATCTTGGCAGCGTAAACAAAAAATAATGGGAAAAAGTTAATTATCAAAAGCAGTGCAAAAAAAAAGTGAACCCATCTTGTGTTCAAAGCAGTAGAAGAGCTTTTGGGAAAAAAACAGGGTACCAAGAAAGTACTTTAAATATTACAGATGGGATTGTTTGTCTAGCCACTGCCACAAATACAGAATCATTGTTTTAAAATGTTGGAAAACTGATTTGGGGAAGAAATAGAAGACAAATATTTCTTTCCTATTACTGCATGGAAACGGCCTCTGTTTTCAGCTTATCAGAACTCTCTAAGTTAGATTCCAAACAAAAAAGAAACAAGTGTGCCCTTATTTGGGGCTTATTGAAAATTTACATATATCTGTATGGATACTATGGAATTCAGCACAAGGAATTCATTGCACAGTATTTTGAACACCTAGGAAGAAAAGAAGCGCATGGAAAGAAGAGATAAAGGGACTCACTTGAGCAAAGTGGACTTGCGTTTTCCAAACCATCCTCTTCTGCAAAATAAATTAGAAATGGGATTATAGTTGTATACTTCCTAGTGTGGCCAGGAAAAAAAAGAGATTATCCAGAAACCATTAGGGAAGATGTCTGGAAACAAAATAGCAATGCAGCCGAACGAGTCATGTGAGAACACCCGGCATCATTGCTTGGACAGACTTTTACAAGAACACTTTGGTAATATAGGAACATTCTTGTATCCTACATTTTGACTCTGGTAAATGACAGGAATATTTTGCTCCTAAGGGATAGATGTCATCATACACTGGGGTGCACTGAGGGAAAAGAATCCTCAGAGGCTACTGTCGTATGCAAGAAAGCATCAATATACAGTAAACTCTTTTTAATGTCCTGAGTGTGACAAATGAAATACAAAAAGGGATAAGTGCAGTTCCACTTCTGTGCTAGATCAGTCTCTTTGTCCATGTGAGTCCATTAGACTCTACAGTCCAAAGGCTGATGTTACTTCTTTTAACACCCCCTTCCATTCGATGGGAGCAGATATTAGATCAAGTACTTTGTGGACTGGACTCAAGAGCTGCTTTTGGCTCTGTTTTGTTGTATTTTCTAACAAGCGGCATATCTATCATGCTTGTGCATGATAATACTTGAATCAGAAAGGTGCAGGCCACCAAGAGGTGCAACTTCATGTGTGAGAGGTAAGTGGATTTATCTCAGAGTATCTTTAGCCCGTATCTGTATTCTTTCGAAAGTAGCATAAGGGAGATTCTGAGTCTTGTGAGACAAGCCTTGCTTCAAAGGGATGGTCGGGTTGCTAAACTACTCACAATGCTGTGAAAAGTGGAGGTATGTGTTTCACCCAATGTTCTGGGGCCCACGGCATTTAAAAAGATCTGTGCATGGGTGGGTGGGTAGGTAGGTGATGAAACCTCATTGTTACTCTAGAGAAACTGACTGAAGAGGAGTTGAACAATCTAAAACCAATCCTGCTACAGTGCTATGATTTTCAGACCGGATAACTCCTAGACAAATTGCTGCCTTTATTCTCTGCAAGTCTCATCACAGGGGATTCCACCCTATGTCATGCACAGAATTCCACAGGGCACCCAAATGAGATGGCCTTCAATTTTTAACCCTTAGTTGGTGGGCTTCCCCCCTTTTTCTTTTTAACCAGAAATGTGGATAAAACTTTTTTTTTTAAATGATACATGAATGGCAGAATGTTATCTGATTGTTAGCACTAGGAACTGCTCCTCTGGAAGCAGGCTATGACATGTATACAGAGCCAAGAATCCTCAAGGAAATCTGAACTCAGAGGCAACTACAAGAAGCTTCTCCTGTTCTTGATAATATGACTTGGCTAAAACCCATCTTCTTCTGATCCTAAGCATACTCAGCAGCCATAAATGCTTTCTCAGAAATAAGCCATCAAGTCTTCAATGTGGGTCTCTCTCATTCAACTGTCACATAATCCTAGCCCCGCTTAGGCAAAAGTGGTCTATTAAAACATATGAAGTTTTCAGCCAAATATGCTTGGAATTGTGAAGCCAGTTACATTTCTTTGAAATGACTGAGAAATTAACCCAACTCACTGGCTGGAAATATATTTACATTGAATCTAGTGAGACATGACTCAATCCTACATTTAGGATCACAATACTCTCACAATGTCATCTTGTATAGATTCCACTTTGGATTAAATCCATTGGTTTCAAAGGAAGTGGCTGGATGTGTCTTGTTGTGCCTCCAGGCATCAGGCGGTGGATGTTTTATTGTAGCAAATGTCCTAGTCAATATATTCCTCTGAAATTTTAACTTTTGCATCGTCACCGTTGTATGGGGCTGTTTCAAAATGTATGTCACAAACCACTTGGGACACAGTCTGGTTTTAAGAAGGCAGAATGCATGATTACAGAAACCAGCTGCTTCACCATCATGGATTCCTGTCACCAAACTTCATCCTAGAAACAGTTCCATCCAAACATATTGCAGAGCTGGCCAGTTCAGCTATTTAACCTCGGTCCTCTTCTTCAAGGTGAAAAGTAGCCACACAACAGGTAGGGAAAAGGCACACCACCACACCAAGCAAGTGTGTGAGTGTGTAGAGAGAAAACAGATACCCACATATTTAATCATGACATAAAAGGTAACAATTCCTCAAGATGGCACACATCATAATGACCAATGCCACGACCATCGTAAGCATCATTGTCACCAGGATTCACCTCTGTATCATCACCAGCAGAAGGACTAATCTTGCCAATTAAATCTAGATGAGTGCAACATTGCAAAACCCGGAGACTTTTCTCAAATGGAAACCACCCACCCACCCCCACCACCCCACGGGGGAAGCCCTCCCCAAATACCTCCGACACCAAGGTGCGCAGGCAGTCACTTACGTGTCCAGGCGCCGCTGCTCAGCAGCAGGAGCAGCCAGAGCTGCCAGGGGCCCATGGTGAGCGAGGGACCCTTGGCTTTGCGCTGACCTCCTTTTGTCTTCTTCTAGCCCCAGTGTCAAAGAGAGACTGAGCGTTCCCACTTGGACCTGCCTTTAAATACTCCCAGGCAAAGCAGCTGAGCCAAACGGTTCGAAAAGTTCAGAGCAAACTGCAAAAAGTCCAAAGGTCAGAGTCCTCTGGGATGCTCAGTGCAACAGGCACCAGGAGGCTCATCTGGATGAGTTCAGGCAGCAGAGGAGTGCCGAAGGCATGGGAAGGCAAAACAGGCTCTAGGCGTGTATGTGGCTATTTTCACATACAATACTCTTTTAAATGTGACATCCAGGACATTTACTCTCTTTCCAAAGGTTGTTTAATTTAGTGGAGAAAAACCTGCTATGGTTTTGGGTTTGGAAGCTCACTGTCTCCCAACTGGGGTGCATACAAGAAACCTGTTAGAAACATGCTAATTCCTTGTTTTCCTGAACAGCTATCTATGGACAGTCAGACATACAGGCAATCTGGAGTCTGTGCTCAGGGCGAGGCCCAAACAACCTGGGAGGTGTGCTTGTTGTTCAGAAAAGTACCCAGTTGCAATCAGGGTGGCTGCTGTGCCTTAACAACTGATGTGGCAGGATACCAACCAGATAGTTACAATTCTGTGCTGGCTTTCAGGGCTCAAAATGTGGTAGGAAACCTGGGGATTCTGCCCACTCTTTGGCAGAAAGAGGTTCTGTGGGTTCTCAGCTGTACCTGGTCTTAGTTTTGTTTCCCTTTCGTGGCCCCTCCTCCTCCTCTTCCTCCTCCTCCTCTCCATTCCCTGTGATGACCTTTCACTACACTTACTGATGCATCGCAATAGCTTGCAGCAACTCATTATGTGAATTGTGTGTGTTTACTTCAGACACAAACCCTTGCTCAGATGTTAGTCTGAGTATGTGACAGGGGCCATGAATGCCCACCCCACATGTCTAACCTCCTGATATCAAGAGGCAGGGATTAAGGGGCACTCTTCTTGTGGCACAGTGGTCAAACTGGAACACTGCTCAGGAGCTGAGTTCAACCCTAATGGGCTCAGGTAGCTGGCTCAAGGTCGACTGACTCAGCCTTCCACCCTTCCGAGGTTGGTAAACTGAGTAGTCAGCTTGCTTGTGGGACCAGAATGTGTAGCTTGTGTAATGGAATTGTAAACTGGCCAGGGAGTGCTTCAAGTACTATGCTCCATATGAACGAAAAGCCTGATAATCAGAGAGGCTGAAGGTTTAAGGAGTGGGTGAGAATATCTGGAACAGCACCAGCGTGTGCCCTTCCTTTTATGTGCTTTGTGCCTCATAAACTCACACCAACTCTTGAACAAGGCTACCATCCATGATGTAGAACAGTGGTTCCCAACCTTAGGTGACCCAGGTGTTCCTGGCCTGCACTTCCCAGAAGTCTTCATGACCAGCTATGCTGGTTGCAGTTTCTGGGAACTGCAGTCCAAGAAGACCTGGGTTACCCAAGGTTGGGGACCAATGGTGTACAAGAATACTAGACAGTCATAACTTCATGCTGGCTTTCAGGATTCAGGATGTGGTAGGAAACTATAGTAGTACCACAAAGTCTGGAACTACACATTTGCAACAGTTCACAATAAAAATGTTTACTGTGGGTTGGCTGAACCTACTTTCAACGTACAGTCTTGTTTTTTGAACTGAGCAGATTTGTATTAAAGCAACTGAACAGATGAAGGCTTAGTGACTGGATTTCTTTAGTATTTTATTTTATTATTTTAATGCATCCAGACAAATGGAACACGGCAGACTCAAGCCCCTGTCTACCCAGGAACTGGGGGAAATCGCCAGTTCAAGGGGACAGAGAGAGCCTTGTCCATGTTGTCTACCAACTGGACCCTCTAAATCAGCCATTCCCAACTCTTTTTGGCCACCTCCATAAACACAATATGAAAGAAAGAGAGTCTGAATAAGAATTGTATAATTTGCATAATGAGCCTTAGAAGGTGGTATGAGAAAAAATGGTTTCCAGTCTGTGGCCCCCTTGAAATGTACCAGGGCTCTGTTCCAAATCAGAGCAGGAGGAGGTGTTGACCTACATGTCCAAGTCCCCCTCCTGAGCCAAGCCCACAGCAGTGTGTGGGCCAGAAGGCAGCCTGCCGGGTTCTCTCCCTGACAGCATAGAAAAAGCCAGTCAGAAAGCGAGTGAGGGCCAAAGGAACCCACTTGTATCCATCAAAGCAGTGGCAGTTATGGTCAAAATGACACATATCACAGCCTTCCTCTCATGGGATCCCCAAAGCCTTCAGTAGGCTGTAAAAGACAGACCTAAGCCTTACTGCAGTTATTAAAAATGTGGATTGGTCACTGTTTTTAAACCACAGTTGGGCTTGCAACATATGCAGCAACAGGACTTGCTGTGAATTCCACCCAATTTTTTCAGAGTGTGTAGTTTCTGGCAAAGAAGGTGTAGGCAACACTTAGACCGCCTAATCACTCCCCTTTGAGATATGCTGGCTTAATGCTAAGCAGGTCCTGGGGATTCTTGAGATCCCCAAGAAAGAACACAACACACAAGCCATTGGAGAAAAAAAGGCCAGAGCATTTATGGGTTACAGCATCAGTCCGTCGCTTATCACTGGGAATTCGGATCCAGCGCATTGGGAGGCCTGCCTGCCCCCCAATGCCCACTTCTGTCTGCTTCAGTCAGTCCGTCGCTTATCACTGGGAATTCGGATCCAGCACATTGGGAGGCCCGCCTGCCCCCCCAATGCCCACTTCTGTCTGCTTCAGCAGCCAGAGTGTGCCAATCCTCCAGAAACCATATGGGTATATGCCATTCCATGGTTCTCTGGTGCCTTTGGATGGGGTGGGGCCAGCGGGCCCCCTATCGGTGTCAGACTGTAGCCCTGTCCCTCTGCCCCCCATATGGGGAGAATTCCATTTTCCATTGTGGGCAACCCAGGTTTCCACATGTCATTCTCATACCATCTGGATCCAGCCCCAGTACCACAAAACTACCAAGATTTGTGACAAGGTAAAAAAAAACAAACCAAAAAACACAAGCATATCATATTCAAAGAATTGTACCATTATCACACACAAAAAAACCCCCCAACTACTGTGTAACTTAACTTCATATACATAAAACCCACCAGCAAGCTATAGGGAGTGGGGATAGGAGAGGCTGGCCACAGAGTGGCCAATAGGGAACAAGGCACCCAGTTTTATACTGGGCAGGTGGACTGGAGTAGAACCTGCCCACTCTTCATCCACAGCCCACAGTCCCTTTCTTTTCAAAATTCTCTGCCAATCGATCCAACGCCAGAGAAGGACTGGGCTGAGGGAGAAAGATTAATATCCTTTCTCCACTGGGCCCACGGAGCTGATTCAAATTCTTCTCCATCACCAACTCTCTTCAGGAAGAAGAAGGCTATTGGTGATATATTTCCACATTTACATTGAGCTTTGTTTGGCCTGACTCTCCTCGCTCGCTCTTTTTGGTTGTCAGGCAAAAGCATGGAATAAAAATTCATATAGTAATTTCAGCTGATTTATTTAATAACCTTTTATCCAATAGGTCAACCCTGACTGGTTCCCAGAGTGGGTCACAAATCAGCAAGTTAAAGCCTCAGTGTATTATTACATATTCTTTAATATTGTTTTAAGAATATGATCGCTGTGTTTCAGTACTTAAAATTCTGCTGTTACCTGAGCTTTCACATACCATTTTTAGTGATTTCTGTTTTGGTCTGTCATATGGTTGTGTGCTGTTAGAGACTTTCGGTGTGCGTGTGTGTGTGCTGTAGTACTGTTTTATTTTTGAAAATAGATTTAAGACTATTTTGTAAAGAGAGTCAACTCTTTATATACCTGAATGCAGCATTATAACATGTAGAACAAGAAGAAAGCAAAATATTAAACATATGTGTGAAAGATTGATACACTGTTTTGGTCAAGTACAAGCTTTCAAAGAATTTAGCACATAGACATTTAAACCATCTGATTGTCATTCTCATTCCTGAAGTGAATGAAATGTATCTACAGATGTAAAACACTTTATAGAATTTGTCTTAATAAAAGGGAAAAGATATTTATCTTCGCAAGAAACACTGCAGTTTTGGAGGAAATACTTTAAGGGGCTTTGGAATATTCATTGAAAACCGAACGCCTCCATATTGGTTCTGGTGAAGGGGTGCACTATGTTTGAATTAAATAATTGTTATTGTTTATTTGTAAGTTGTTACTTGTTGTTTTAGTTGCGGTATGTATTGTTTTAGTCGTGTGATTTTTGTGTGTGGTTTATTTCTCTTCTTAAAACTTGAAATATATGAATTGGAAAAAATCACAAATGTAAAACACTAGGCTTTATCTTAAAATTCATGCTTAGCTGATTTATGAAGCTGCCTTTCTGTCCAGCTAGCACAGCTGGTGCCAGTGGCTCTGTTTCTAGAAGAAAAAGGACAGATTTCAGGGACTGAACATTCCATGTTACATGAAAATGCACACCTTTGTCATTATTTTGCAAAGATTCATTGTTAAGTCCCAGAATGCAGTATGGTCTTTTCTTTGGTTTCTTCAGGCCACAAAATAACTTAAGACATCATTTCCAGTGGGTTCCAGTGACTATTTCTTTTCCGTGGGTGAAATTTCACTTCCTCTATGCTTGTGTGTGTAAAACGTGAGGGTCTATGCCGTCTCTGAACCAGACTTTCCATTGGATAGGGTGAGATGCTTTCCTCAGGTGGGACAGTATGAGGGGCAAATTTTGCTCTCACTCTACTCTGCCAGGAGGGCCCCAAGCTAGAAAGCCTTGCTTGCCAGTTGTTGAGATAAGGGAGACTGAATATTCTTCTGTGATTTCCACTCAGCTGTGTTTCAAATGAAGGTCATAACAGAAAGGCAATGATTAACTCATAGGCACCAAGAGATAGTTTTTCAGTCCCCCAGAGTCCTCTCTCGTAGGCGAATCGACACAGTACTAGAGTGCAATGTGGACATTCTACCACATTGTCACCTGTAGGGTGAAACAGTGCCTTCATGTTCAGCCATTGACAGTGGTTAGAGAGAAAAATACATGTAT